CTCCCTCCCCCCCCCGGAACTACACACACCACTCATGGAATCATTGTTACCCCTCAACGACAACCACATGGCCATCGGCATTCAACACAAACAGGGGCGCCGACTTGATCATCTTCATCATCGAGTACCCGGCGCCGGGTCGGAACAAGTCGGCCTCAGAGGTCATCTTGCACAAGTATGTGGGCTTTGTCGGTACTTCTGTCTTCTCCAACTTTTACATCAGAGCTGGTATGTACTTCATCATCGCATGCGTCTGCTTTGCCGGCCTCCCGCTCATCGTCTGCGGCCTCATCCTCATGATTGCAGCCTTTATCTACGGTTACGCAGGCTACAACGGCGAGACCGTCAACAAGGGCCGTCGCTAAGTGCTAAAGTCAACCACACTACACGGTCGCCTCGACCAAGACCCGCAGCCGCTCGATAGCCTGGGTACTCTGGGTAGCCACATAGTTCTTGACCGACGAGAGCAGCCAGCCCTTGAGATCGACGCAGTTGATGTACGTGACACGCGTGCCGCCATCTGATGGCTCGAGTACGTAGCCGGCAAAGTGAAGGTGCGCCCGAACGTATTCGCGCCCGGCCGGCGCACCGCTGTGCTCGACAGAGAACGACACAATGTGGATAGCGCCATCAGCCTGGACCGTCGAGCCGGCGAGGACCACCATGTCACGGCCCTGCACCGGGCCCGGCGCGCTAAACGCGTAGTGCGTGATGCGGTATCTCTCGTTGAATATCTCTAGGTAGCTGTGTGAGACAAACATCGGGTCCCACTCGCCACGCCGGCTCGTGTCTCGCAGCAGCGCGTACACATGAGCAGGCGGCGCGGCAATGTTGCCAACGCCCTTGACTGCAAACAGGGAGGTGCCGGCGTGCTTGCGGCGGAACGACTCAACCCCACCCGAGGAGCCCACATGCACCCATCCCTCGTCGCGGGCGTAAACCTCGAGCTGCGTGTACGCCCCGGCAATGGCATCCTCGTATCCGGCCGGCCACTCGCTGCGACCAGACGTGCCAATGCCGTACACAGCCTCGACCACACCCGGTCCGTCCTCGCGCGGTGACGACTCCAACCCCGCAATTGACGACGGTGGCGTACGGTATTCGTCGGCGTCAACAAAGTCGTACTCATCGTATTCGTCTGACGACAGCCGCGAGCTGCTCAAGCCTACTCTCCGCACCTCGCTCGCCCCGATCGAGCCGTACATCGATCGCGCCGGTGACGGCGACGGCAGTGCTGGTGACGACGAGTGCAGCCGCGACCGCCGCGCGCTCAGCGGCGACCGCGGCGCTTGCAGCGAGCCCGACGTGCCCGACGGAGGAAGCGAGGCAAACAGCAGCCGCTCACGCTCGCGGTCCGCCTCCTTTGCCAGCGCCTGCGCCCGTTCCTGCGACCGAATCCGCAGCCGCCGGTAAAAGACCAGCGTCTCGAGCCAGGCCGAGACAAAGAAGCCAAACATAATGATCACCGCCATAGACTCGACCCCTCCCTTGGCCTCCCAACCGCCCAGCGAGAACATTGCCGCCTTCACTACCGCATACACCGTAGTGGCTCCCGTTGCCGCATACAGCAAGCCCATTCCGTGGATATCGTACACCCCATACGCCAGCCCCAGGCCTGCTGATCGACCTGCAGAGAAGCAGAGAACATCAAACAGCGACGATGAAAAGGTAAACGCCTTTGCCTGTTCTGTGATAAACGATCTCGAGCCCGTACTGTTACCCTCAAGCCCACACATCCCGCCCAAACGACGTTGTACCCACACATCGCACCCACACATACGTTGCGTTGATCAGTCGCGGTGTGAGCCACCCGCCACCCGCCACACACCACCCACCACCGGCCACCAGCCCAGTCACCATCACCAAGCCCAATACACACATAAACGCATATACACACACATCCAATCACCATATATCATCTACACAGTAAGTGGGTGGGTGATGATGGGAGGAGGGAGGATGAAGGGGCGGGGAGGGGGCGGGGAGGGGGGGTGGGGGTGGGGGGGGTGCTGGCGAGTCATCATCAACAGGTCACAGGTTTGGTTTGGGGGGGGGGGGGGGGGGGGAGGGGGGGGAAGGAAGGCATGACGTACGAGATACCAGAGACGAGAAAGAGGATGAACAGGGCAGCTATGTTAAATACGCATGTGAGAGCAAACACATGGTCGCCCATTACCGGCACAGGACCCCACCTCTGGACGAGTGCACAGTTGGGTGGTCAGTGGTCAGAGTCGGCGAACGCTCCGCTCAAGACGACAGACAGCACTTCAGCTACCTGCCTCGATCCGCCCCCGCGCATTGCGCGCATACACACACACACACACACACACAAGTTCAGTGATATTCCACTTTAACACACTTTAAGCTTTTATTCTCATCGCTCAACGCAGCAGCTCGCCAAGGGTGGCAACCCGCCACTCGCCTTCGCCACCAATAAAGATCTCCTCGCGGGCGCCGTGGAGCACGACGTCGATGCCATTGGCGCGGTTGTCCTGGACAACGGCAAAGACAGGGAGGCCCAACGAAGCCGCAACTCTGCCTGTCGTCTCGAGTCGCGCATCGTGGTCGAGGAGGAATCGTTCCACGAGCTCGCGGAAGCTGAGCTCGACTCGCGCAGGCGGGCCTGCCGCAGCGTCTCCTGCACCGCGGCGGACTCCAGCCCGCGCTTTGCCGGAGAGATCCTGTGATGCCAGGAGTTGCTGTATGCGCTCTGGAACGAGGGCAAGCCATGCTGTACGAGACAACGGCGGCGCACGGTCAAGATACGCCAGCGCCTCAGCCGCAAGCTCGGCGACTACAACTTGTGGCAGAATGTCGAGCCAGGCAAAGAGCGGGTGAAGGAGCCGCGGGTGGGCCGGCGGATCGGCAAAGGCAAGCGGCGACGCAAACGAGCTTGCGATCCAAGTCTTGAGCGTCGGCACAACTCGCTTGGCCAGTGCACGCTCGACCACCGCTCGCAGTGGTGCCAGCGGAAGCTGTGCCCACGGCATGAGCCAGTCCAGCGCGTCGGCCGGCGACTCGGCCTGCCACGACGCGAGTGCCCGACCAAATGCCGGGCCGACCACAGGCGCAAGCGCCGCCGCCCCGGCTGCCCCAAGGTGCGGAAGCCATGGCAGGACAACGTGGGTAAGCGCAAAGCCAAGATCGCGGCCCGCGCCTGCAGAGTCCAGCGCCCGCCCGAGCCCGGGTACCACCGACTCGACAATGAGGTGAGCCCGGACGTGGAGCGGGAGCTCGTCGCGCCATGCCTCAAACAGCTCCAGCGCCGGATCGTCAGCACTATCGGTCGCACCCGCTTGCCACTGCGTCACCAGCGCTCGCTTGACCGGCGGGAGCCAAAGTGCCTCCACCGCAAGCGCGTAGCCCGACGGCGCACCCATGGCTCCGGGTGCTGCGGAGAGGAGCGGCTTCCACTTGGCAAAGATCTCGATCCCGTGGGCCGGCGCCCTCAGCGGACGCCACGCCTCAACAGCGGCAGTAAGATGCGGCCAGGCCAGCGGTAGCGCTAGGTCTGCGAGTCCGAGCAGAGCTGATGTCTCTGGCTCTGACACGAGAAGCGAGCCGAGCGCCACTGCTGCCGACCCCGGGTCGTCGTCGTGCGCTACGTCTGCCCCCGCTGCCGCCAATTTGGCTGCAGACTCTGCCGCCACCCCAGCAGCATCGGCCTTTTCGTCAGCCGTCGTCACTGCTGCCTGCAGCGAAGCCACCTGGGTACGAGCCTTGGTGGCCTTGGCCGCCGCGCCGCGGAGATCAGCATCGATAAAGTCGGCCAGCGACCGCAGATTGTACTGCAGCTCCGGCAGCGCCGCCGCTGGCGCGCTAGACTTTCTCTGTACCCCCGAGCCCGAGAGCGAGGTCACCTTGCGTGGCCCGCCTTCAACCGTCATGTCGATGATGGTCAATGGCTCGGGAGCGTGATCGACCTCGGCGCTGGCGGCGTACTTGGCGGCCAGCTCCTCCGCTGTCGCGTACTTTGGCCGGTGCGACGAGACCTTGCTCGCACGCCAGCGCTTGGTAGCGCGAGCGGGAACGGCAGCTGTTGCGGCAGACTTGGTTGCCGACGGAGGCGACTCGACCTTCTCCTTGAACCCGCCGAACGCGATGCCCTTGCCCTTGGGCCGGAGCTTGACTCGGATCGGCTCTGCGATGCCCTGCCGATCCTTGCCGAGGCCCTCTCCAGGCTGCCATCCCATTTTGCGAAGCAATGACGAGCCAACACCCTTGGTGTGGGCATCAAACGAGGCGCCAAGCTCCCCGCCATTCCCTCTGCTCCCACCTCTGACACCAGAGCCCAGCCCGCCCCGCCCGCTGCCGAGCCCACCTCGACCAGGCGCGCTCCCTAGGCCAACCCGAGCAGTCTCGCCTCCCAACCCGCTACGACCTCCGGCTTGCCCACTCCCTGCCCCCACAAACGAGACGCCTACGCCTTTGCGTGCCCTCTTGCGTGCCGGCCCGCCCGACGCAGACGACGAGGTCGAGAACGAGTACGAGGTGCTCGAGCTTGAGCCCGAGCCGGAACCCGAGCCCGAGCCCGAGCCCGAGCTCGCGCCTGAAGACGACATGCCCGCCTCCATCTCCTCCCTCAATGCTCGCAACAAGAAAAGTGACGTGTGCCTCTCTGTCTGTCTTCTCTGCCCCGTCGACCGTCGTCGTCGTCGTTGCCGACGTCGTCGTCGTCGTCAAGCAGCCCAGTGTGCGACTCGGCGCGCTCGACTCTTGTTGAGCCACCATCAGGGCGCTGCTTGTGGTTGGTACTCGACAAATTGTCGTTGCCTTCCATTGCGCACGCGCCCTCGAAGACCCCTACCACTGCCATTAGCATCATCGCATCTCGTGGCAAAGTGCACGCACCTACAATGGCTTGCATGTCTGCATCAAGATCAGCGGCAGCAGTACAGCCACGGCAACAACGTTGCCTGGGTGTGATTGCGGCATGCGTCGAGCCGGCTTCATCAACCGCCAGATCTGGCGGAGCTCCGCAGTACAAACACGTTCCAAGCTCGATAGCTAGTTGCATCGCAACACGAGCCCTCGGCCCATCCAAGCAGGGATGAAAGCTCTGAGCGGTAGATGGGCATATCGCAGAGCGACGCCTGCGGGCACGTGACTGGGCGGTCAGCAAGCACAAATTTGGCGCGCGCGCGAAGGTCGAGCAGGCATGACGTCACCTGCAGGTGTACGTCATAGACAGCACGAAGAAGGCGATGTTGAGGCAAGAACAGACAGGATGTAGAGGAGAGAGCATGTAGAGGGAGTAGGTGAGAGTGAGTGGCAAATCGAGGAGGTGGGAAGGAGGTGGCATTGCAGGCGAGGGTCTGCCATCAGCACGTGGGCTCGGCGATTATGCACACCCGTCTCCACCACCACACAGTCTACAACAGGACCACTTCCTTGAGGCTTGACGTCGAGGACGGGGAGGAGCGCGGAGGAGGAAGAAGAAGAAGAAGAAAGTTACCACAAGCATTTACATAGGCAACCTACTCGGTGTGTAGAACCCCTGAGCAAGACTTGCCCGCTGTACCTACTCCCACCCAGACCACCCCCTTGGACGCTTGGAACACCACGTCGCTGTGATTGATTGATTGATTGCTGGATTTTTCCCCCGCCATCGAATTGTTGCACGTTCAAACACCAGTCACCGACAACAGTAGCAGCAACAGGCTCGAGCTCCAAGAGCAACAACAACCACGTCAGCAGCCCCAAAAAAATAATCATTGGCTTGCTCACACAGCACATACCAACGGAATCGCTTCGCTTGCTGTCTACCTTTGTGTACTTGCTTGCCTGACCTGTTACTCGGTCGTCCCGACGGTCATCCTGATCACTTGCTGCTTCACGCTCATACTTTGATCACCACTACTACTCCAACTACTACTACTACTACGACGACGACGACTGCACCATGGACGGCACGCCCCCCAGCCCTGCCACCATTCAGGTCCAGATCGCACCAGGCGAGCGGCTCGCCGAGCTAGCGTTTCTGGCGGTTCTTGGCCGTCTGCTACTGGCTTGCGTCCTTGGCGCAGCCATCGGACTCCAGCGCGAGCTGGCGCGCAACACGGCTGGCCTGAGAACGCATCTACTAGTCTCACTCGGCTCATGTCTTATCATGCTCACGTCGCAGCATGGATTTAACGAGGATCCGCGGACCGGTGATCCAGCACGGATGGCAGCTCAGGTTGTGTCAGGCATTGGCTTTCTCGGTGCCGGCGCCATCATTCGGCGCGGCCCTGTGGTGCGCGGCCTGACAACTGCTGCGTCGCTCTGGGTCTCAGCTGGCCTCGGCCTGGCAGTCGGCACAGGCTACTGGATCGCCGCCCTCCTCACCACCACACTCACCATTGTCTCGCTTGTGGTACTCAAGGCCATCGAGCGGTCGTTTATTTCGCCGCGCGAGACCCGCGTGGTCTCGATGCACGACGTGACGTGGGACCAGGTCCAGGCTTGCATCAACCAAATGCGCAAAGAGTCAATTGTCATTCTCTCCATCAAGTCAGCGTCGTCGGACACCCCGGTGGCTGAGGACGCAACACCGCTGGTTAACGTCGACCTCGTTGTCCGCCTGCCCAAGTCGGCGTCAGGTTCGCACATGGTCGACACTCTCTCCACCATCATTGTCTCGTCCATCCCGCAGCTCGAGCATGCGCCGCAGGCGCCCTCAGTTGCAGCCATGGCCGAAGAGGGCGATGGCACGTCTGACGACTCGCGCGCCCGCAAGCCCATTGCTTTCCGCCGTGCCCGTGCCGCCATCCCCATGCCTTCAGTCTCAGTCGAGACCGTCAAGGGCGCCGCCAACGACCGCCGCCGCCGCAAGTCGCAGCCAAACAACGTCTCGCACTCGCGCTCGGTCTCGCGCTGCCCCTCGCCCGACGGCCGTAAGCTGGTCGATGCCATCCGCGCTCTCGAGCGCTCACAGAGCCCGCCGCGCGCCGCGCGAAGCCCGGGTGTCCCCGGAACCGGCGCCACCATCGCCATCTCTGACCCGGTCCGTGTTGTCACCAATCCGCCGGCCATCTCGCTCGAGGGCTCGCCCGAGGTCTCGAGTCTCGAGCTCGAGTTCGAAGACGAGGAGTTCTCCTACATGTCGTACTCGGACTACATGTAGTCGCAGGACCTTAAACCCATGGAACACTGAGCATCTTGTCAGGTCTTACAATGAACTCGACGCGTGGAGAACAGTTCAAAGCATGCTGGGTGATGCACGATGCGAGCGACGAAGACACCGACCATAAGCCTGTTGGACCTTGAGTATCTACGGTGGAAGACAAAGAACATGAGGAAAGCAAACCCACTTAATACACACATACTCTCTCTCTCTTATACCGTCAACCCCCCAGGACCCATCAATCATATACCAGATCCTCATCTGCACGCTGTCGTGTCGTCTTTCATTTGCTTGATCACGCAACTTGAGGCACCTCTCCCTAGGCCCCCCCCCCCCCCCCACCGCTCCCTCTCTCCCTCCTCTCTCACCATGCTGCACAGACTCAGTCATCCACTACACATAGGACGACTGCACTCGTCATTTGCAGCACAGGCGTTCGCGGCAGCGTGCAGAGCAGCATTACCTGGGCGTGTGACGACGACTACGGCCGAGTGCTTTGCCTTGGGCACCGACGCCTCGCCCTACTCGCTCACGCCACACACCGTTGTCTCGCCGGTCTCCGAGGCCGAGGTCCAAGCCACGCTTGCAGCAGCAGCTGTGCACAGAGTCCCGGTCACGTTCCGGGCGGCAGGGACATCGCTCTCGGGCCAGGCGTCCACCGATGCAGCGCTAATCAAGATATCCCACGCAGAGCCGGCCTGGAAGGAGCTGGTCATTGCCCCTGATGGTGGCTCTGTCCGGCTCGGTCCGGCTGTCATTGGCGGTGCAGCCAACGCTGCTCTCGCTCCTCTCGGTCGGAAGATTGGCCCGGACCCATCATCCATCGACTCGGCCATGATCGGTGGCATTGTAGCCAACAACTCGTCCGGCATGTGCTGCGGCGTGGCAAGCAACGCTTACCACACCATCCGGTCCGCTCGCATCATCCTCGCCGACGGCACGCTTCTCGACACTGGGTCGGACGCCTCGCGCGCTGCTTTCCTCACTTCGCATGCCAAGCTTGCGCAGGGCCTCGTCGACTTGGCTCGCGAGGTCCAGGCCGACACCGCCCTCGCCGCACGCATCGCCTCCAAGTTTTCCATCAAGTGCACGACCGGGTACTCGCTCAATGCACTTGTGGATGCCGACCCCAACGACCCCGTTGACATTGTGCTCAAGCTTATGGTCGGTTCAGAGGGTACGCTTGGCTTTATCTCATCAGTCGAGCTTGCTACTGTCGTCGAGCACCCCCATTCGGCCACCGCCTTTGTCACCTTTGACGCCACCGCCGCCGCCGCCGAGGCGACCCAGGCGCTGCGTGCGCTTGGCGACCGCGCTCCAGACGCGGTTGAACTCATGGACGCGGTCTCACTCGCCTCGGCGGCGCACTCGTCGGACATTGCCTCTGTTGCGACCCTGCCTAACCTTGATCTCAATCCGCGCGCTGCCGCGCTGCTCCTAGAGGTCAAGGCACCCACTGCAGGGGATCTTGAAGCTGCCTGTGCTGCACTCGCTGCCGAGCCTCTCTTTGAACCGGCGCTGGGTGACAAGCTCGGCTTTGCCCAATCGGCTGCCGAAGCCAAGATCATGTGGGACGCCCGCAAAGGCATCATCCCCATCGTAGGAGCGCGCCGGCCGCCCGGTACCTCGACCATCATCGAAGACGTGGCAGTCCCAGTCTCTGCTCTTGCTCCGCTCACCGACGACCTCTCGGCACTCTTTGCGTCGCTGGGCTACCCAGACGCGTGTATCGTGGGCCATGCGCTTGAGGGCAACTTGCACCTCATCTTCAATCAGGGCTTTGCCACCCCGGCTGACGTCGACGCTTTCCGCACCCTCCTCGACCGCATGGCTGAGCTTGTCGCTGTCAAGTACGACGGCTCGCTCAAGGCCGAGCACGGGACTGGACGAAACATGGCACCATACGTCGAGATGGAGTGGGGTCCGCGTGCCACTTCCCTCATGTGGCGAATCAAGGAGCTGTTTGATCCGGCCGGCCTGCTCAATCCGGGCGTAATCCTCAGCCACGACGCCGAAATTCACGTCAAGCACCTCAAGGCCACCCCGAGCGTTGACCCGGTCGTTGATGCGTGCATTGAGTGCGGGTTCTGCGAGTCGAACTGCCCGTCCCGCAACACCGCCCTCACACCGCGCCAGCGCATTGCCCTCGCTCGCAAGCTCTCCACCCTCGAAGACGGCTCGGCCGCCCACGCTGAGGCCTCCGCGCTCCTTGACTCGGCCGCCATCGACCTCTGCGCCGCGGACGGCATGTGCCAGGCCAAGTGCCCGGTGAGCATCAACACTGGCGAGTATATGGTCGCCCTCCGCGCTGCCCGTCTTGCTTCGGGCTCGCCATGGGCGTCCAAGCTTGCGCTGATTGTGGCGGACAACTTTGGTGTCGCCACCGCAGCCGGGCGTGGCATGCTTGCCGTAGCCCACGCCGCCGCATCACTTGTGGGCTCGGCATCGCTCACCACTGTTTCTGCGGGCCTCAACACCATCAGTGGAAGCTTGATCCCAATCTGGCACGAAGCACTTCCGTCGCCGCCGCTGCCGGTATCGTGGCGCGGGGCACAATCGCAGCCGGCTGGTGCTGCCTCGCGCCGCCGGGTGGCGTACTTTCCTACTTGTGTCTCGCGAGTTCTCGGGCCGTCGCAGCGCGGCGAGCTCTGCGTTGTCGATGCCGTCCAGCGCCTGTTTGATGAGCACCTTGTGGATAGCTACGAGCTGGTCATCCCGGACAATGTTGATGGGCTCTGCTGCGGGTGTGCGTTCGAGTCCAAGGGTCTCTCGAGCGCGACCGACGCCGCCTCGGCTCGACTCGGCGATGCACTTGCCGCCCTTGATGTCGATGCTGTGGTCGTCGACGCGTCGCCTTGTGTCGAGACGATGCGGCGACTTGGTGCTGGTGGTGTTCCCGTTTATGACGTCGTCGAGTACCTAGATCTGGCAGCACGGTCGGGGCACTTTCCGGCGCTGTCCGAGCTCGCGCCGCAGCCGGCAGCCGAGCCAGTAGTGTTGCACATTCCGTGCTCGGCGTCCAAGGTGGCCGGCCTTGAACGAGTGTACCAGTCTGTCGCTGCGCGGCTGTGGGGTGAGCGTGGAGTGGTGGGCTCGGACGTGGCATGTTGCGGCATGGCCGGTGATCGTGGGCTCCGGTTCCCCGAGCTCCGCGCATCTGCGCTGGCCAGTCTCACTGCTCGCGCCCCGGCCCGCGGGGTCAGCTGCTCGCGGACGTGTGAAGTGGGGCTAGAGGCCGAGACCGGCGCACCATGGCATCATGTTGTCGTTGCGCTTGCCGAGCGGCTGTGCAAATAGAGATCATCAAAGTCCAATCACAGATCGGCCTTCCGCCACGACACCCACGCGAGGCTGCCATCGTCGCCACCAAACGAGTTGGCTTCGATAGTCATGCCGGCGAGCTGAGCAGCGCAACCGGCGCCGCCTTGGCCCGCGGGCGTGAGCTGCTCTGAGAGCGGAGCAAAGGCGCCGACCTTGCTGATGGCGCAGTACGAGGACCGGACGCCGATTTCTGTGAGGTGGCGGCCACCAAAGACGTTTTGAATGAACAGCCGATTGGTGGTGCGGAGCTTTGCGGCGGCGTCACCGGCGACGGCAAGGGCAAGGACGACGCCGTTGTCGAGCCGCGAGACGGCGTCGCGAGCTGTGTCGGCAGCATCCTTGTCGACGCTCGTGTCAAAAACGGTGTGGAAGAGGACCTTGACAGCGCCGTCTGAGACGTCGAGGGCAGCAAGATGGAGGCCGGCGGTCTCTGGACGCGGCGAGCCGTTGGGCAACAACGCCGGTGGCTTGCGCCGCGGAGTCGGCTGCGGAGTGGGCGCGGGAGTGGGCGCAGGCGTAGCCGACTCGCCTACGAGCTCCTTGACCTTGGCGACGGCATCAGCGGCGTCCTCGACGAGGTTGTCGCGGCTGTGGATGCGAATAACAAAGCGAGCGTAGTTTGGCAGGGTGACGGTCTGGGCGAGAAGTTCGGCCTTGAGCGACTGGACGCCGTCTTTGGTGACGTCAATCTCGTGGCGACGCATCCGCTGGAGGAGGTCGCCCGAAGCCGAGAACTGCTTTGTGGCGTCGAGGCCCATGACTCGCGGGTGCGGGAGGGCGCGGTAGTGGCCCTCTGTGCGGGAGAGGCGCTTGAGGCCAGTGCGACCGAATTTGTGGGTGATGCGCAGATACATGTCGTCGTCCTCGCGGCCCCAGCCCCAGTAGCCATTGGAGAAGCCACCGACGCTGACGTAGTCTTCAGCGCGCATCTGCAGCGCGCCGCCGACCATGGCCGAGTATGAGGTAAAGCCGTCCTGCGTCGTTGCCGCGCAGAGATGGGTAGGCTCGGCGCGCCAGCCGTAGTTGTTGGTCATGTGAGTCGGCAGCTGGTCGACGTCGTGGAGGACAACGTACTCGCAGCCAAACTTGTTGACGCCGAGGACAAAGGCGGCATTGAACATGGCGCCCTTGTTGAAGAACCCGCCCTGGTCCTGCTCGGCCACTATGATCTTAAACCGCCGGCCGGCGTCGGTCAGCCACTCCTCCATGTACGGCACAAACTCATCGAGATTAGCTTCACGTCCAGCGCCCTGGGTGGAGAGCGACGGCGAGTCGCGGAAGGGAACAAGGACACAGAGCAGCGGCTCGGCGCTCGCGTCGGTGTCAGCAGCTGCCGCCGCAACCCGCGCGAGCGTAAGCTGGGTGTCGAGGAGAGCAGGCGGCTCCGGTGATGGCGGATAGGCCGAGACCGGCTCAATCCACTCGGTAACGGCCGAGTCGGCAGGCGCGTTGGCTCTGGTTCCTGCCAGCCCACGGAGCCGGGTGGCCATGTCGGTGATGGCGTTGACAAACTTGTCTACGTCGACAGCATACTCGTGGCGGCGGGTGGCGCGTGGAATGGAGAGGACCTGGCAGACGCGGTCGGCCCAGCGGCAGAAGTTCTGGTAGTGGTGGCGGCGGCGATAAGCGACGGGAACGATTTCGAGGAGGCCGGTCGGGACGTCGTTGGACATAAAGAGGACGTGCGAGAGGCCGGCGCCGTGGATGCCGGTGAGGATGTGTGAGGCTGCGACGATGCGGAGCTGCTCACCGTAGGTGAGCTCGGTAAAGACATAGCACGAGGCATGGAAGCCGCTGCGAGCGTTGAGGGTGGCGGCGAGCTCGTTGCAGTTGACCAGCTTGCGCTCGGCTGAGCCGCCAAGGTTCCGCGGATGGGCGACATAATCTTTGCGGACGAGGATGGTGACAACAATTGGGTTTGCGGCGAGCGGAGTGGTGTTGGGTGCGGGAGCTGGTAGGCCGACGCCATAAAGGCGCCAAAGTGCTGGACGCCCGGGAGAGTCGAGCACGGTGAGTTGGTGGCGATGTGCAGGTTGATGGGCGAGGCATATCCTGCAGCGACGACGATTGCATTCTCGAAGCAGACACGGCCTCTTGGAAGCTGTGAGAGGTACAAAACCTGGGCGGGCGCAAAGATGTCTGTCCACGGCTCGTCAAGGTTGCCGGCGGCGTGGCCATCGAGCCAGACAATAACGACCTCTTCGCGGGAGTGGACGTCAAACATCTCGAGAGCCAGATACGTGTTGTACCAGTCGGTCATGGTGTGAAACAGGTTGCAGTACTCGTACCGCTGCACCAAGAGCGTCGGACGTGTCTCTGTAGCGTCACACGGCCCGCTGCTCTCGCCGACAACCAGCTTGCTCGGCATGATCATGTGCTCGAGGTGGTTGAGCATGGGGACGAGCGGAGCCTTCTCCGAAAACTTGGAACAAGCCCTAGCCTCCCACGCCCCAGCAGTATACTCGGGGTACTCGTCGCTCTCCTCACGGCCGGCGACATCGTAGAGGTTCTCGGCGCCTGTCGAGACCTTGACCTTGCGGGTGTCGAGGGCGAGGGAGGTGACCCGGCACATGGTGGCCGGCACGCCCGGATGGTGACGGCAGACCATAGCGTCGTCCTCCTCGCACATTTGAACTTCTGGCCAGTACAGCTCGCGCGATTCGTCCGAGAGAGAGAACGCCGTCGGGCAGTGTCTGGCAAGATCCGACGACGGGGCCACCTTGCCGGGCTTGTTTCCCTTGGGCGCCGCAGTCATCGGCGAAGCCACGTTGCCGGCTACATCGGCCGGCAGCCTCGGATTGTCGCGGAAGGTGTACCGTGTCGCGCCTGCTTTTGATGCAGGGGCGAGAGTGGGGGTGGGAGTGGGGGGCGGAGTGGGGGCGGGAGTGGGGGCGGGAGTGGGGGCAGGGGTGGGGTGGGGGTGATGGCAATTGGGGCGGGATGGCGAGTGGTAGCCGTTGTTGCTGACGTGGCCGAGCTTGCAGCGGCGGGATGTGGCGAGGTAGACGAGGGAGCCGCAGCAGACGACATCTTGGTTGTCGATGAGCGCGCAGACGGCGAGGAGGAAGAGCGAGCAGGAGCAGGAGCAGGAGTAGGAGCAGGAGCAGGAGCAGGACGACGAGGAGGAGGAGGAGGAGGAGGAGGCTCAAAGCCAGACCGAAGGATTGTCAGAAGATATACATTTTGAACAATGACCATGAGTGTGAGGCAGGCAAGCATAGTCCGCCATGTCACGCATCGGCCGACCACCCGTTCACCAAGACTATGTCCGCGCCGATCCACACCACCAATAAGCATGGCGAGGTGGAGGGGGGAGGTAGGAGGGGGGAGGGAGGGGAGGGGGGGAGGGGAGGGGAGGGTGGGGTGGGGGGGGGGGGTAGGTAGGGAAGGGAGGAGTGGTAGTGGTAGTGGGTGGGTTGGGTTGGGTTGGGTTGAAGGGGGGAGGGGGGGGTATGCCTGATGCTGGTGGTGTTGGCGTGTGTGGTTGTCGGGCTGTCGGTCGGGTTGTTGTGTTGGTCGTGCAAAATGATGCAAATGGTCGCTCCGTGATGGCGGCGGTGGCCATGGCTTTGGGCAGACGACCAAAACCGGTTGGCCAAATCGTTCGCCGGTTCAACCGTTGCCTCGCCAGCACTGTGCCTGAGGCTGTGACTGAGACTGGTGCGCGGAAGGAGGAGCACTTGGCGCAGAGCTTACAGTACTGTGACACGGGGTTTAGTATGGGCTCGTCAAAGAAGAAGAAGTCAAAGGGGAAGACGAGGAAGACGACAGAGAGCTCGGTGAGTGTGTCGAGCGCGAGCGCGAGCAAGGGCAAGGGCAAGGGCAAGGGCAAGGGCAAGGGCAAGGGCAAGGGCAAGGGCAAGGGCAAGGGCAAGGGCAAGGGCAAGGCTGTGGGCGTCGTCGCCGTTGACGGACACAATGACTATGCATACATGATTGATCCGGACTCGTCGTCGTCGAGCCATCACAAGTCCAAGGGCAAGGGCAAGAGCAAGGGCAAGGGCAAGTCCAAGTCCAAGTCCAAGAGCAAGTCCAAGAGCAAGTCCAAGAGCAAGTCCAAGTCCAAGAGCAAGTCCAAGAGCAAGTCCAAGTCCAAGTCCAAGAGCAACATCGTGTCCGTGGTTGGTCCGGACGAGGCGCGGCTGGCCAACTCGTTCAACTCGCTCGAGAGCGAGCTGTCCGACACGGAGATCGAACGGAGCAGAAAGCCACGTCGCAGAATGGGCAAGGCAAAGAAGGGCAAGACAAAGAAGGGCAAGACAAAGAAGGAAAAGGGCGCCAAGGCCAAGTCGTCGTCAGAGTCCAGCGAGTCGACGTCTGCGTCTGACTCGTCGCGTGTGGTGGCAAAGGCGCGCAAGGGCAAGCGTCAAAGCCACTCAGATCTGCTTGTTGTCACCTCGTCGCTGTTCTCGTCGACGTCGGGCGCGTCCGAGCCAGCCGACTACACGCTTGCCCACCAGCTCACCCGCCACGGCCTCACCGCCAACCAAAAGGCCTTTATCGACTACCTCAAGCAGAACGGGCAGGCGCCGCTGGCGGCTACTGCAGCGAGCGCACCATCCGACTCTTCGGGGTCATCATCGTCGACCTCGGCTCGCCGCCACCGCCACCGCCATCGCCACCGCCACCGCCATCGCTCCTCCTCCTCTTCTTCAGCCTCGTCGCCGCGTCGCATCGTACACAAGTATCTTCCGCCGTGGGAAAACTCGGAGCTCGACTCATCCGAAGTCGCCTACGCCGCTGCCATCCATCCAGGCTACCCAGATCATCCCGCTCACGCCCACGGCGGCAACGCTGCAGCCCATCAGCCGCCTCGTCGTCGCGGCTCCGCCTTTGGCTGGCACAACCTCCACTAAAAAATCCTCGCAAACCCATGCGCAAACCCATGTGCAAACCCTTGCGAATAGCCCTTCCCCCCTCCCCCCAAGTTCCTCCCTTCTTCTTCCCCTCTCACTACGATCTCCACCATCACCGCTTTGTGGGGCATTCTGGGCCCCATCAGTACTCCGGGTCTCCAACGTCCAACTTGGATTCTTGGAATCACGTCAACTCGACGTCAACAGTCATGGTTGGAATACTTTGGTCTCTGATACCTCTCCCCCACTGTCCAACGACCGCAGTACGGATCCCAGCTAGCCACCATGACTCCCTCTCCGCTCTTTGCTTCACACAAGTTGTGAATGTGAACAGAGCAGGGCACACACATTCTATACCACCTCCCCTCCCCTCCCCAACCACTTGCCACTCCTTCTTCCCACCACTGTCTCCGCTGTGCCTTTCCCGCAGTGGCAGCCTGCTGGCCAACCATGGCCTGAAAAAATTCGGCTGGCCAGCCTTCGGCCGACCCCTCCCCTGGTCCCCCCTTTCTCCACCTCCGGCAATGCCAAGCCTCCGCTCGCGAGCGCCCCCTCCCTACCAGACTCCTGCCCTTGCTTTCCCACTGTTGTGCATTGTATTGTGCGTGTTCTTCGCCCAGTCGCGCCACCCCCTCCCCGCCTACAAGCACCAGCTGTCCTTCCGCTCGCTCGCCCCCCCCCCCCTCTCCCCGCCACTTGCCAACACCCGCAATCACTCATCCAGCGCCCGCCCTCCCCCTCCCCCTCCCCCCCCCTCCCCTGGCTCGTACTTTGATGTCTCTTTTTGACACAGTGTCTGACGACAGCTACTACTCGGGGTACTACTCCGACGAGGAAGTCGGGCGCCCCGCGCCCGCGGCGGCTGCGCCGCCCAAGTACTCTTCGCGTGGTGACCGTGGCTCCAAGGGCTCGTCGGGCCGCAATGCCGGCGGTTCGTCGCGTCGGGCCTCGGGCCGCAAGTCGTCGACCCGGACGCCGGTGCAGACGGATATTGTGCGGACGATGTCTGAGATTTCTGCCAAGTACGAGCAGGCTTCTGCCAAGGCTGCGCGCGGGCTCAACCTGACGCGGTCTGAGATGCGTGCTTGCAACGAGCTGCGGATGGACCAGCACCTTATGTCGCTCGACGAGCTCATGAACGACCCGGTGTACAAGACGGATCCGGAGCGCGGCCTGAGCAAGTCTGTGGCTGCGGAGCGGCTCAAGGCTAACGGGCCGAACGAGCTCACGCCCGAGGACAAGGTTCCCGAGTGGAAGAAGTTTGTGGAGCAAATGACCGGCTGGTTCTCGCTCCTCCTCTGGGCCGGTTCGGCGCTCTCGTTCTTCGGCTACATCCTCGACTCTGAGGGTGTGGAGAACCTTTACATTGGCATTGTCCTTGCAGTCGTCGTCTTCCTCACTGGTGTCTTCTCGTACATGCAGGAGCGCAAGTCGTCGAAGATCATGGAGAAGTTCAAGGACTTTCTGCCCAAGACGACGCGTGTCATCCGTGACGGCACCGAGATGTCTGTGCCTGTGGAGAACCTTGTCCTCGGCGACGTGGTCAAGGTCAAGTACGGCGACACCATTCCGGCCGACCTGCGGATGATCGAGGTTGCCGGGCTCAAGGTCGACAACGCGTCGCTGACCGGCGAGTCTGAGCCTCAGGCGCGCGACACCAACGTTTCTGAGGAGAACCCGCTCGAGGCGACGAACCTTGCGTTCTTCCTCACGGCCGCAGTTGAGGGCACTGCCACCGGCGTGGTCATCAACTGCGGTGACGACACGATCATGGGCCGGATTGCCAAGCTCGTGGCGACGACCGAGCAGCGCAAGACGCCGATCCAGAAGGAGATTGACCGATTCATTCTCATCATTTCGACGGTTGCCATGGTTCTCGGCATCTCGTTCTTCCTTGTCGGTGTGGCCAACGGCACGCCGTGGATCTCCAACCTGGTCTTTATGATCGGTATTATTGTGGCCAACGTGCCCGAGGGCCTCCTGGCTACGGTCACTGTCTCGCTCTCGCTCACCGCGCAGCGGATGGCCCGCAAGAAGGTGCTCGTCAAGCTTCTCGACGCCGTCGAGACGCTCGGCGCGACGACCACGATTTGCTCGGACAAGACCGGCACGCTGACGCAGAACGTCATGACTGTTGCCCATCTGTTCTACAACGGCAACCTCGAGGACTGCGACTTTGCCGGTACTACGCAGGACAAGACGTGGGAGTGGGACGCGCCCGAGTTCCAGGAGCTCCGTCGCGTGGCCATGCTCTGCAACAACGCCGCTTTCGACGAGGACGAGGAGGCGATGAAGATCGCCAACAAGCTCGACCGCCCGGTCTCCGGTGACGCGTCCGAGACGGCCATCCTCAAGTTTACCGAGTCGATCTGCCGCGGCGGCGATACGGTCAAGGACTACCGCAAGCGGAACACCAAGGGCCACCCGCCGCATGTCCGTGAGATCATCTTCAACTCGAAGAACAAGTGGCAGCTTTCGATCCACGAGCTTGAGGACGACCCGGACCAGCTCCTGCTGTGCATCAAGGGCGCACCCGAGCGCATCATGCGCATGTGCTCGCACGTCTACCGCGACGGCCGTGAGCGCACCTTTACCGAAGCAGAGAAGGCGCGCGTCCTCGCCGGCCAGAACACGTGCGCTGAGAACGGTGAGCGTATTCTGGGCTTTGCCGAGTACTACCTGCCCAAGTCGGACTTCCCGGTCGACTACGACTTTGACATGACGTACCCGTACAACTTCCCGGGCCCGCCGTCGGTTGACGAGCTCGCCGATGACTCGCTCGACCTCGGTCGCTACACCTTTGTCGGCTTTATGGCCATGATGGATCCGCCGCGCGAGGCTGTGCCCGGCGCCGTCGCCAAGTGCAAGTCGGCCGGCATCAAGGTCATCATGGTGACCGGCGACCATCCGACGACTGCCAAGGCCATTGCCAAGATGGTCAACATCATCACCTCGCCGACCGCCGAGGACATTGCCAAGGAGCGCGGCACCGAGGTCACGCCCGCCATTCGCGCCGAGGCTCGCTCCATCGTCAAGGCCGGCTGGGAGCTCCCTGAGTTTACCGAGGAGGACTGGCATTTTGTGCTCGACCACGAGCAGATCGTCTTTGCGCGTACCTCGCCGCAGCAGAAGCTCTTCATTGTTTCGCACTGCCAGGAGCGCCACGAGATTGTCGCCGTCACCGGCGACGGTGTCAACGACTCGCCCGCCCTCAAGCAGGCCGACATCGGTATTGCCATGGGCATCATGGGCTCTGACGTCGCCAAGGCCGCCGCCGACATGATTCTGCTTGACGACAACTTTGCCTCGATTGTCAACGGCATCGAGGAGGGCCGCATCACCTTTGACAACCTCAAGAAGTCGATCGCCTACACCCTCTCGTCCAACATTCCCGAGATCACCCCGTTCCTCTCGTTCATCACTTTCGGCATGCCGCTCCCGCTCTCGACCGTCCTCATCCTCTGCGTCGACCTCGGCACTGACATGCTCCCCGCCATTTCGTTTGCCTACGAGATGGCTGAGTCGGACATCATGGACCGCAAGCCGCGCGCCCGCGACGACAACCTCGTCACCTCGCGCCTCATCTCGTTCTCGTACCTGCAGGTTGGTATCTTCCAGGCCCTGGCCGGCTTCTTCATGTACCTCGTCATCCTCGGCGACAAGGGCTTCCGCCCCTCCATCCTCCCGGGCACCGGCATCGACTGGTCGCGTGACAAGAACCTCATGATCGCCGGCGAGAACTACGTCGTCCGTGACGAGGCTCTCCGCGCCGCCCAGACCGGCTTCTTCATCTCGATCGTCATCGTCCAGTGGGCTGACGTCCTCGCTTGCAAGACCCGCATGCTCTCGCTCTTCCAGCAGGGCATGAAGAACATGGTCATGAACGCCGGTCTCGTCGAGGAGACCATCCTCTGCATCATCCTCGCCTACGTGCCGTTCATCAACCTTGTCTTTGGCTCGCGCCCTGTCAAGCTTATCCACTGGCTCGCCCCGGTCCCGTTCTCGCTTGCCATCCTCGTCTATGACGAGCTCCGCAAGGCTGTCATCCGCCGCTCCAACGGTTTTATCAAGCGCACCACCTACTACTAAGCTTGAGCCGTGCCGACTTGGCTTTTAAAAAACATCACAACAACATTCTTCTTTCCCCCCCTCCCCTCCCCCTCGACCACCGGACCTTGTGACTCGCGCCACCGCGAACACCGGAAATGAGCCAACTCGAGTCACACGACTACCCACCCCCCTCCCCCACCCGCCTCCCCCCCCCCCCTCCCCCACCCGCCGCTCTCTCCCTTTCCCCTCACAGGATCCAACCTACAGAGCAGTACCCCCTCCGGTCCAAGCCATGTACCACCCCACGGCCGTCACCGCCGCCACCACCCTCCTCCTCCTCTTCCTCCTCACGGCTCTCCTTGCCGCGACACCCACCACGACGACCACTACGACGACCACCACGACGACCACCATACCCCCAAAGGTGGCATACAGCGGAGTCGGCGTAGGTAGGGACAAGGAGCAAAGAGCAAGACCCTCTGCTACAGGCAATCACACCACCCGGTTCTGGCCATGTGGTGTGTATGGACGTGATGGCGACGGCAGTGAGTATGGTCAAGATGATGGTGCTGATGGTGCTCATGCTCCCGATGGTGTTGATGCCAGCGGCTGGCAAGGAGTCGGCGAGAATGGTCTGCTCAACACACCCTTGCTCTTCCCCTCGTCGCCTCTGCCGCGCCATGTCTCGTTTTCCATTCCAAAGGCGTATGCCCAGCTCGCTGTCCTCCGCGCTGTGCTCTCGCCAGCGCCCAACCAGCACCCGATGGATAATACTGCCGTCTTGGTCTCGTCTCGCCACCGCCACCCGACTCGCGCCTCGGCACAGTGGTCCATGCAATGGTCGTTCCTCGGCTTTGACACCGACGACCGCGATGATAAGAGCACGTTCGATGCCTCGGATCGTGCCGGCCTTCCCTCGCTTGCCGCCTCACTCCATGTGCTTCCGCCAACGGCTCAGGCGCTGTTTCTCTCGCGGTCGTCGCTGCCGCCGCTTCCTCGCGACACCTCGGTTCTCCATGTCACCATCGATGGGCCAGGCGACGTGGTGCTGCAGCTGGTTCGATATGACGCTAACGTCATTCCGGGCGACGCCGGCAATCTGCGCGTTGATCCGCATCCGGGCCCGGGCGGCGTGGTTGACGTCTGGTGGGCTGCGCCGCGCAATCTGGGCCACGGAGAGTTTACCGCTCACGCCTTTTCGGCGCCACTGGCGACCAACGTCTCGATTGAGACCATGCTCTGTCGCATCGGCTCGCTCATGGACGCGCAGTCTGCGCTCAACGCACCACAGTCGCTGAGCCTCACCTCGACTCTGCGGCTCTCCGACGCGCGCTACGTCTCGACCTTCTCAGGCCTCCCGCCGGGCTTCCACGTTCTCAACATGGTGCTCTTCTCGCTGGTGGACGGCTCGCGGCTTGCGCTCTCGCCCGTAGTGGTCTTTCAGCCGCCGCCCCCGGCGCCAATGCCAGCACTCGCGCTGGCGGTCCTTATTCCGCTGGTCTTTTTCGTTTGCATCTTCCTCATTGCGCTCTTTCTCCGCGGTCTCTCTGTTCGCGCTGCCGGCATTCCGCTCGCATCACGCGGCGGAATGTGCGCGGCACTCTGCTGCTGCTGCGCCTCACTCTTCTTCCGCCCTTCACGGACCCGGTGGAAGTACACACTTGCTTTTGACGCCGCTGTTGCCGACCAGCCCGAGCTCCCGCCGCCGCCGCTTGTCGGCCCGATGTTTATTCCGGGCTCGTCGCGGCCGTCGTCGATTGCGTCGGCGCCGCTGCCAATGGCGTCGTCGGCACCGTCGCACAACCCGCCGCCGCATTCGGCATACACGTACGACCCGGCATCGTCGGCCGGCGCACGCACGCTTCCGTCGTCGTTTGCAGCTCGTTTCATGGCTACTGACAACGCCTTTGCGAGCCCAAACGCGGCGCACAGCTCTCCCGCGCTCGGCTTGGGCGGCACGACCTCGCGCTACTTTGGCTCGGCCTCGTCGTCGCTCTCGGCCTCGTCTTCGTCACACCTCTCTGACGATGCGCGGCGGCTCTTGGCCCACTGCGCTATCGTCCCGCCACACCTTGCCACCCCGCCGCGCACCGACTCGACCTTCCTCTATGCTTCGTCGACGACCTCGTCGTCGGGTGTCGACGACGACGACGACATCTTTGGCACTACCCCGCCTTAGCACCGGCCCTGCAGACGTAGCGCGTGGTTTACCGTTACAGCCATCCTCCTCTATCATTCGTCGTGTTTTGACGACTTCGACTTGGCCTTGGACTTGGACTTTGACTTTGACTTTGACTTGTCCTTGCTCTTTGACTTTGACTTGTCCTTGCTCTTGGCCTTGTCCTTGCTCTTGGCCTTGTCCTTGGCCTTGGCCTTCCCCTTCTTCTTCCCCTTCCCTTTCTCCTTCCCCTTTGCCTCGTCCTTCTCCTCATCATCCGTGTCGGCCCCAGCCTCAGTGGCCGCCTCAAACCCACGGGCACGCTTGCTCGCCGGGACATCATCGGCGGCGGGCGAGGCCTCGGGCTTGGCCTTGCCGCGCTTGCGCTTGGCCTCGCCGCGCTTGTGGCGGTAGACCGGCTCCGGCGGGACAAACGAGTCGACAGTCGGCTGGCGGCCTGCAGCCTGGAGAGTGGCACCCTTGGCAGCCATTGCCTGCTTAAAGTAGTCCTCCATCGAGACCGAGGCCGTGTGAGTAGGGATGGATGAGGCATCGGCATGAAGCTCTGGCTTGGGCGAGGATGTGGCCGCCGGCGTCGGCGTGGCTGATGGCGACGACGCGCCCGACGATGAGGCCGGGCGGCCAAAGATGGCCGACAGATCCTCGTCAGCGTACGAGTTGACGTCCTTGGACGAGACAAACTTGGAGTAGAAGATCTTCTTGGAGCCCGCCCGGCGATCAGCAGCACGCTGGGCAGCAGTCTTCTTGACCTTGGCCTTGGGCACAAAGACCCGCGGTGGCTCATCATCGGCCTCCCCGTCCTTGACCTTGTCTAGTGCGTGCTTGGCGTTGAGCTTGGCCAGGATCGATGAGAAAGCGTCGGCGTTTGCCAGCCAGTTCTCCGACGCCAGCGACGCCCCAATACCCTTCTTGTCGCCCTTCTTGGTCACCGCGATGTGGCTTGTCCGTCCGTTTCCGGTTCGTCCAAGCCCAGTTCCAGCCTCCCATCCCATCGACTTCATCAGTCGCTTTCCGTACGTCGACTCGTCCTTGGTCCATGCCTGGTTGTTGGGGTCTCCGTGATACCGCCGCCGCGAGCCCGAGCTCCGCGAGCTGTCCGTCATATCAACCGCACACACAAAAGCAAACTTTACCACACAGAAGACAATGTCCTGAAACACAGCCAAGTTCTTGTTCTTCCCTCGCCTGACTCGTGTAGAGAATGTGAGAGAGGTTGACCGTGCAAGAGAGCAAGAGAGTGCAAGAGAGATAGCCGGCGCGTGGACGCCTGCCCCGAGCTGGATGTGATGGATGGCCAACGAGGCCGGATCACTCGCACCGGCCATTGCCACCTGCGAGTTGCGGGGGAGGGGCGCTGAGGAGTACCGCTTCCAAGTCGCAAAAAATAGTCACTCCAGTCCACCCAAACCACGTGACATTTTTGTTGGTTGGGTCGGTCGTCTTCCAGTTCTTCGTCTCCTCCGCCTTTTGCCGCAAACGTCCAATATTTGTAGCCGCTGACCCCCGAGGCAACCTTCCCCCCCTACACCGGCATTCACTCGTCTTCTCACACCGAAACAGGGCTATACGTGTGTATACGCGTTTAAAGCTTTGTTTTGCTTGTTCCAAGTACGTGCCTCCTCCTCTGTGCCTCTTTCCTGCCCGCTCCACCACCCACCCACGTGGTCGGTTGCTGTTTTGGCGTAGCCGACCCCTTTTTTTGACCCTTTTCCCCTCTCCATCTCTCACCACCAGCCGCCCGGCCTCCTTCTCCCTGCCACCCTCATGGTGCCCCACATGTTCAGAATGCGAACAATGTACCAAAGTACGGTGTTTGCAGCTGTTGCCTGTCTGCTGCTTGCAGCCTCAGCCTCGGCAGCCATTATCACCAAGACGGCCACTTCGTCCACTTTCTACGGTTCGCACAACGGCGCACCCTGGTCGGGAAACCGCGCCCAGGGTGCCCACTGCTGCGGCGCCAGCCAGCATTCGCAGTATCGTATCTTCTACGGCTTCAACCTCAACATCCCGAGTGGTCATGCCGTTGACGGCATCCAGGTCTCGTACGAGTACATCTCTTCGACCACTGGTTTCTCGGCCTGCGTTAACAAGGACATCACGCTCCGAACCACGTCCGGCTCGGTCATTCTCTCCAGCAATGCCAAGACCGGATCTAGTTACTTTTCCAGTGGCACCATCTCCAAAGGTTCTTCAACCGACACATGGGGCCTCTCTGGTTCGGCGTCTTCGATCCGCTCTGCTCTCAATTCGGGTACGTTTGGTGTCGCCGTCCGTGCCACCGGATTCGCCGAGGCATCAAGCTCGTCTGGCCAGATTCCGCTCGCGCCTACCGGGGGCGATAGTGATGGATCTCGCCGCGTTTCCACCCGTGCGCCCACTGTAGGAACCTGGCGCGTCGACGTCTACAACGGTGACGTGACTATCAAGGTCTGGACCCATCAGCTCACCTGCGGCGCGACCGGGCCGTGGCCGACAACCAACGCCGGTTCGACCGCCACTCTTGGCTGCTCAAGCGGTTACACCGGCTCGCGGACCCGGTACTGCACGACATCAGGATCGTGGCAGTCCGAGTCCAACGGGTGCACGCTTGTCACCAACTACTGCTCACTCCTTACTGCGCCGTCCAACGGCATCCTCACCGCCTCATGCTCCAGCAAGCGCTCGCTTGGCGAGGTCTGTGGCACTTTTCAGTGTAACTCTGGGTACCAACTGTCCGGGTCGGCGTCGCGGACTTGCAACGCCGGACCGTCGTGGTCTGGCTCGGCCGCATCGTGCGTCAAGATCACCAACTACTGCTCACTCCTCACGGCCCCATCCAACGGCTACATCACATCGGGCTCGTGCTCTGCGCAGCGCTCTATCGGCGAGTCATGTGGAACGTTCCAGTGCAACGGTGGCTACAGCCGCTCTGGCGATGCGTCGCGGACGTGCAACGCGGGACCGTCGTGGTCCGGCTCGACAGCGTCGTGCGGACTCATCACCAACTACTGCCCGCTCCTGACCGCACCGGCCAACGGAATCATCACGACCTCGTGCACCTCCAAGCGCTCGGTCGGGGAGTCGTGCGGCAACTTCCAATGCAACGGCGGGTACCAGCTGAGCGGATCGATGTCGCGGACGTGCCAGTCGAACGCGGCGTGGGGCGGGTCAGCCGCGTCGTGCTCTCCCATTCCTGACTATTGTCCGCCACCGCCGGCTGCTCCGTCCAACGGCGTCCAGGGCTCATGCTCGCGGACGGTTGGTGGCACTTGCTCGTACTCTTGCAACACCGGGTACAATCCCGGCGGCGGCATGACCATCACCTGCCAGTCCAACGGTGCGTGGTCCGGATCGCCTGCTGCCTGCAACCCGACAGCCGACTACTGTCCCGCGCTCACGGCACCGACGAACGGTAATGCTCCGGCCTCGTATTCGCGGACGATCACCTCTGTCGCCTCCCCGTACACCTGCAATGCAGGCTACGATCTCTCCGGCTCGGCGTCGCGGACGTGCCAATCTGACGGGACGTGGTCGTCGACAACGCCGACGTGCGTTCTCGACACGTCATACTGTGGGGCTCGCCCCGCGACCCCGGCCAACGGCAACGCTGGCTCGTGTGGATACTCGATCGGCGCGTCGTGCACCTACGGGTGCAACAATGGGTATGAGCCGACAGGCTCGATGACCGTCACCTGCAACTCGGGCGGTGCGTGGTCCGGGAGCCCGGCGTCGTGTGGGCTCAAGACCAACTACTGCCCGGCACTGACCAACCCAACCAACGGCCAGGATCCTTCGTCGTACTCGCGGGTGCTCGGCGCGGTGGCGTCGCCGTACACGTGCAACTCGGGCTACATCGTGACTGCGGGCTCGACGTCGCGGACGTGCATGGCCAACTCTGCTGCATCGGGGGTGTGGTCCGGCACGACGCCGACGTGCTCGATCGACAACGCGCACTGCAGTACGGCGCCGGCGCCGCCGCCCAACTTTTTCATCGACACTTGCTCGGCTGCCCAGTTTGGCGAGTGCATCTACAAGTGCAACAACGGCTACACCCGCAGCGGCGGAGACCGGTACACGTGCCAGCCGGACACATCCTGGGGCGGTAGCCTCGGGACGTGCTCTCTTACCAACAACTACTGTCCGGCGCTGACGATCCCGGCCAACAGCAACCGCGGCGCGTGCTCCGGCCAGCTCGGCTCGATCTGTGGCCCGGTCACCTGCAATGCAGGGTACTCGATCTCTGGCTCGGCGTCGCGGACATGCGAAGACGCTGGGGTGAGTGCGGGAATCTGGAGTGGCACGGCGACAAGCTGTGCGCTCATCACCAACTACTGTACGCTTCCGAGTACGCCGAGCAACGGCGTGCTGGGAGCGTGCACGCGCTCCATCGGCGGGAGCTGCACGTACACGTGTGGCAACGGGTACGAGACGTCCGGCACGACGACGATCACCTGCCAGTCGGGACCGACCTGGTCGGGCTCGTTTGGCACGTGCGTCAAGACGAGCGGGTACTGTCCGGTCGAGTCGGCGCCGGCCAACGGCGTGGCGGGGACCGGGTGCACGGGCCAGATCGGGACGTTGTGCGGACCGGCGAGCTGCAATGCCGGGTACAACCCTTCGGGGACGGCGACGCGGACGTGCAACGCCAACAACGCGGTGAGTGGGACGTGGAGCGGGACGACGCTGACGTGCGCGATCGACCCGGCTTACTGCACGACGCCTGCGGCGCCGGCCAATGGGGCGATTGGATCGTGCCCGCTCTCGATTGGGTCGTCGTGCACCGCGTCGTGCTCGAACGGATACTCGACAGGCGGGCTGACGTCGGTGACTTGCGAGGCCGGTCCGGCGTGGTCGGGCGTGTTCGGTGCCTGCTCGAAGTATGCTGGGTACTGTGGCGCGCTGCCGCAGCCGTCGAATGGAGTGATTCCAGGCTGCACAGGCATGCTGGGAAGCTCCTGCGGGGCTGCGAGCTGCAACGCCGGCTACAATCTGGCGGGCGACGCGACGCGTAACTGCATCGACAACGGACCTGGGTTTGGCAGTTGGACCGGCACCTCGGTCTCGTGCAACATCGAACCGAACCATTGCACGCCGCCGCCGGCACCGGCCAACGGTGCGCTCGGAACGTGCATCACGTCGATCGGCGGCAGCTGCAGTTACACGTGCGACAACGGATACGAGGTGTCTGGAACCGGAACGATCACGTGCTCGGCCGGACCTACGTGGTCGACGTCGTTCGGGACGTGCGTCAAGAGCGCCAACTACTGCCCGGCGCACCCGCCGCTGGCCGACGGCAGCAACCCGTCGTGCACCGGCGAGATTGATGAGGTCTGCGGGACGTTCACCTGCAATTCCGGCTTTGACATTGTTGGCTCGGCAGAACGGACGTGCTTGAACAATGGCCCCATCACGGGGATTTGGTCCGGCACCGCGCCATCGTGCCAAGTCGACAACGACTACTGTCCTAGCGGCCCGGCACCGCCCGCCAACGGAGTCAAGGGCTCGTGCGCACGGTACCTTGGTGGAACGTGCGAGTACTCTTGCAACGCAGGATACACCAATACCGGCTCGTCCTCGCTGACCTGCACGTCTGGCAAGACCTGGTTGGGCGCTTCCCCCAACTGCGTGCCGTACAATGACTACTGTCCGCCGAAAACTTCCATCGAGTATGGTAACGCGCCGGTGTGCAACAACCGCATCAACGAGGTGTGTGGCACCTTCACTTGCAATCCGCCTTTCGCCATTTTTGGCGAGAAGGATCGGACATGCGGGCCTGACGGCGACTGGATTGGCGACGAGCCGTTTTGCTCGTCGACCGACGTTTCCAAGTCGCTTGTCTACTCGGCGCAGTTCATCACGGTCTCGGCCGACGGTCCAGGCTGGCGGATTGAGATCGAGCCGCGGACTGCATCGAACGACACTCTTGCCGAATCGCAGGACTTTCCGTCGGTCCTCCTGGCGTCGACGCCACCATCGGTCGAGGCGCCGTCGGTGGCACCAGCAGCGGTGTGGAGCGCCGCAAAGTCGCGCTTCCTTATCGAGCTTACCCCGCAAGTGGTTGCTACCTACTCGCTCAACATCCTGCTCAACGGCGTTGTCATCGGTGCCTCGCCGTACACTCTGGTTGTCGAGGCCGGCGTTCCTGCAGCGCCGACGACCTTTGCTACTGGCCGCGGGCTCGGCATTGTTGTGACCGACGACGATTTGTTCCCGCAGAACGAAGTTGTCCGGTTTGCGGTCTTCCCGCACGACCAGCACGGTAACGTGGTGCCAATGGCGAGCAACCCGGCGACAACGCCGTACGTGGCGACGCTCAAGGGCGCCGGCTTTGCCGAGGGTGACGTCCCGATTGTGTATCTGGCGGGCGAGTCGGGACCGACGACGGGCTACGTGTACGAGTACTCGGTGCCGATCGGCGGGCTGCTGACACTGTCTGTGACGCTTGACGGGCTGGCCATTGCCGACTCGCCGTGGCTGGTCCAGGTGCGTGCAATTTGCGAGCCTGGCAAGCAGGCGCTTCAGATCACGGGCCCATGCGTTCCGTGCGAGAAAGACTCGTACTCTGCGCCCGACGGGCGCGAGTGCTTGTTGTGCCCGGACTTTATGACGTCGCCGTCGTCGTCAGGATCGATCGGCAACTGCACGTGTGTGCGTGGATACTTTGAGAACCTGGCTGTGGTGGGCGCTGATCCGAGCAAGCGGCAGTGCGACGCGTGTCCTGTGGGCGCATCGTGCGCAGGCGGCAACGCGCGGCCGATTGCGGATCCCGGGTACCACCAGGTGGGTGACGAGTTTGTGTCGTGCCCACAGCCGTCGGCGTGCCTTGGTGCTGGACAGTGCGCACGGGGCTACAAGGGCGCGTCGTGCACTGACTGCGTCTCGGGCTACTACCGGCTTGGGGACCGCTGCTACAAGTGCAACAAGGCACAGGCGGCTTTCATCGCGACTGGCATTGCGTTTTTGCTGCTGCTGTTTGTGGCGGCGCTGGTGTACCTCAACACGCGCGAGTCGCACAACCGGATGTACACGGCAGCGGCGTTTATGATCGGTTTCAACTCGCTGCAGATCTCGGCGATGTATGGAGAGATCGATCTGCGTTGGCACCCTGTGGCGGAGCAGTTCTTCAACATCCTCTCACTGGCCAACCTCAACATCGAGCTCACCTCGCCCGAGTGCTCTGTCGACTTTTTCGGTGATCCGTGGTTGATCAAGTGGGTGCTCATGCTCATGCTGCCGATCTTCATGGTCTTCCTTCTTGGCGTTACTTTTGTGCTTGGCCTCCTCTACCGGCTGTTTGCACGGACGTACGGTGCCAAGTGGGCGGACAGGCACCCGTCGTACTTCCCTGGCGCCGAAAACTTCTTTGACGCCGGCGGCAAGGCGTCGCGGTCAACGCTGATCAAGTTCCGGATTGGGCGTCTGATGTCCGAGGCACCGTTGACGCCTGCGGCGCTGCGGCAAGCTGTTGTGCGGACGTTCTTCCAGCTGTTCATCTTCTGCTATCTGCCGTTGACCGCAGTGGTCCTGCGGTACTTTGAGTGCGAGCGCCGCGCGCCGGGCTCGTCCGAGTACGTCCTCGCCACCGCGCCGTCAGTCGAATGCTACGACGCCACGTACTGGAGTCTGTTCTGGATGGCCATTGCCGGCTCGATCGTTTACGCGCTCGGTATCCCGCTCTTCACCTACCTCCTCCTCTACTTCCGCAAGCGGCAGATGGCCGAGGTCAACTTCATGCTCCGCTACGGATTCCTCGTGGCGCGCTTCCGCGAGAAGCTGTACTACTTTGAGATCACAATTATGATCCGCAAGTTGCTTGTTGTCGGTGCGGTCGTCGCCTTTGGCTCGCCAGTTCAGGAGGCTGTTATGGCAGCGCTCGTTCTTGTTATTTCGTTCGGCTTTGTCGCCCACGCCACGCCGTATCTCAAACCGTTCCACAACCGCCTCGCGATGTCTGCTCTCTTCACTTCGTGCATTGTGCTCATCGGCGGAACCGTCGACTCGAACGGTCTCCGCGACACGCTGGTTCTCGGCGGCCTCGGCGCCAACATCTTTGTTATCGTCTACGGTATTGTGGTGGAGACCAAGAACCTCATCATCCGCGAGGCCGAGGACATGGTTGAGGTCCTCGAGCTGCAGGACACTTTCGAGATGGGCACGTTCACCATCAACGAGGACGAGGACACTTCCATGCATTACATGGTCCCGACGGATGACGGCAATGGCAAGCCGCCAGCCGGCGGCATGGCCAAGCCGGCCGACTCAATCGTCGTCTCGTCAAGCACCGATGACAACACCTCGATGGTCACCGCCTCAATGGTCTCGTCGTCGGCACTCCACCCGTCGGAGTCGATCTTCCCCTCGTTCGCTCTCGAGTGTGACACGGCTCCACCAGTCATCCTCCCGCCGGGCCCGCCGTCGCCGGTCTCGCCGGTCGCACCGGCGATGCCGGCGATGCCGCCGCCACCGGCCCCGGCCCCGCCACCACCGCCCCCCGCCCCTGCCGCGGCTCTCCCGCCACCGACACCGTCGATGGTCGCTGGCGTCCCGCCCGGAGGCTCGCTTCCGCCGCCGCCGTCTTCCACTAACCAGCCGGTGGTGGGCCCTGGTGGTCTGGTGGCGCCGCTGCCACCGCCCAAGGCCGCCCTGCCGCCACCGCCCGTCGGCCATGGCCCGCCCAAGCCTTCCCGACCCAAGCCCTCGGCCCATGCCGGCCCGCCCATCCCGGCGCCTAAGCCGTCTGGCACCTCGGCCGCACCTTTTCCCCCGCCGAAGCCGTACTAGTCGTTTTGGCCCTCTTCACTCTCTACAACCATCATAACATTTTCCCCCTCTTCACCCTCATCAGCTGTCTTGTCGGCCTTCTCATCTCAAGTACAAAAAAAATAGCCAACTTGCGCCACCTGGCACCCAGGAATAGAGTGACACCAACCAACCAACTAACCATTAGTGTGTGAGCCGTGTCGACAGAGAGAGCTACATCAAGAGCTGGAGACGACAACTCCAGCACGGCCGTCCCTCACAGCTGCAGCCCCGCAGTTGTTCAACAGTCATTCCTCTCTCCCTCTCACTTTGTGGCAAAGAAACGGAAGGACAACCCCCGTCCTCTCCCCTTCACCCCCCACCCCCACCCATACACTCTTCCAATCTACAACTTCACGCTCACCAGCCCAAGCGTACACCCCTCCTCCCCCTGCGTGCCACTTTGTGTTCCACGAAAACGATCGCTTCCTCTGCGGTTGGCGCAAAAAATTCCTCTCTCTTTGCTGCTTTTTGCACACCTCGATTCCCACGTCGGCACATGACCTGTCACACTCTGCACGGCCTTCTCCGGCTTGTGCTGGTAGTGGCCAGCATTTTGGCCATGGTCCATGCGGCTCCATCTACGTCGTCGTCGTCGTCCGTCACTTACGGTATTGGAACTGCCTCCTGGAGCGGAAACTCGGTCGGTGACGTAGACTGCTGCGGCGACTCGCGGACGTCCAACTACCGCATCTTCACTGGCTTTGGCATCAACGTCCCTCTCGGCCATGCTGTCGACGGCATCTCAGTCTCGGCTCTTTGCACGCGGTCCATCAACGGCTTCTCGTCGGCCTGGTTCAAGGACTTTTCACTCCGCACCACCTCTGGCACCATCGTCCAGGGTGCCGGTGTCAAGACGCTCAACTCGCTGCTAGGCTCGACTAGTACAAAGACAGCCGGCTCGTCGACTGACACCTGGGGCATGACAGGCTCTCCATCGCAGATTCGCTCGGCACTCAACTCGGCCTCGTTTGGTGTGGCTGTCCGAGTCTATGGCTATGCCGAGTCGTCGTCGTCAGGGCCGTCGGGCCCCGGCAGCTCAGGCCCTATTCATATTGAGTTTGCCCCTGATCATTCGTCTGAAGCCAGGCTAGATTCAGACGCCTATGGTGATGTCGGCGCGGCGCCGGAGCGCAAGGTTGCCACCCGCTCTTTTGGATCGTGGACTGTCAACATTGCAGAAACCGCCGTCTCCATCTCCATCTGGACTCGCCAGCTCACCTGCGCCGCGACCGGGCCGTGGCAGACGACCAACGCCGGCTCAACTCACAACGTCGGCTGCTCTGCCGGTTACACTGGTACCTATTCGCGGTACTGCAACACCAATGGCGAGTGGAACACGCCTACGGATACCTGCACCAAAATCACCAACTACTGCACTCTCCTTACTGCGCCGTCCAACGGCATCCTCACCGCCTCATGCTCCAGCCAGCGCTCGATCAACGAGGTCTGTGGCACTTTTCAGTGTAACTCCGGATACCAACTGTCCGGGTCGGCGTCGCGGACTTGCAACGCCGGACCGTCGTGGTCCGGCTCGGCCGCATCGTGCGTCAAGATCACCAACTACTGCTCACTCCTCACGGCCCCATCCAACGGCTACATCACTTCGGGCTCGTGCTCTGCGCAGCGCTCCATCGGCGAGTCATGTGGGACGTTCCAGTGCAACGGTGGCTACAGCCGCTCTGGCGATGCGTCGCGGACGTGCAACGTGGGACCGTCGTGGTCCGGCTCGGCAGCGTCGTGCGGACTCATCACCAACTACTGCCCGCTCCTGACCGCACCGGCCAACGGCATCATCACGACCTCGTGCACCTCCAAGCGCTCGGTCGGCGAGTCGTGTGGCAACTTCCAATGCAACAGCGGGTACCAGCTGAGCGGATCGATGTCGCGGGCGTGCCAGTCGAACGCGGCGTGGGGCGGGTCGGCCGCGTCGTGCTCTCCCATTCCTGACTATTGTCCGTCACCGCCGGCTGCTCCGTCCAACGGCGTCCAGGGCTCATGCTCGCGAACGGTTGGTGGCACTTGCTCGTACTCTTGCAACACCGGGTACAATCCCGGCGGCGGCATGACCATCACCTGCCAGTCCAACGGCGCGTGGTCCGGATCGCCTGCTGCCTGCAACCCGACAGCCGACTACTGTCCCGCGCTCACGGCACCGACGAACGGTAATGCTCCGGCCTCGTATTCGCGGACGATCACCTCTGTCGCCTCCCCGTACACCTGCAATGCAGGCTACGATCTCTCCGGCTCGGCGTCGCGGACGTGCCAATCTGACGGGACGTGGTCATCGACAACGCCGACGTGCGTTCTCGACACGTCTTACTGTGGGGCTCGCCCCGCGACCCCGGCCAACGGCAACGCCGGCTCGTGTGGATACTCGATCGGCGCGTCTTGCACCTACGGGTGCAACAATGGGTATGAGCCGTCAGGCTCGATGACCGTCACCTGCAACTCGGGCGGTGCGTGGTCCGGGAGCCCTTCGTCGTGCACGTCCAAGACCAACTACTGCCCGGCACTGACCAACCCGACCAACGGCCAGGATCCTTCGTCGTACTCGCGGGCGCTCGGCCAGGTGGCGTCGCCGTACACGTGCAACTCGGGCTACATCGTGACTGCGGGCTCGACGTCGCGGACGTGCATGGCCAACTCTGCTGCATCGGGGGTGTGGTCCGGCACGACGCCGACGTGCTCGATCGACAACGCGCACTGTAGTACGGCACCGGCGCCGCCGGCCAACTTTTTCATCGACACTTGCTCGGCTGCCCAGTTTGGCGAGTGCATCTACAAGTGCAACAACGGCTACACCAACAGCGGCGGAGACCGGTACACGTGCCAGCCAGACAGATCCTGGGCCGGTAGCCTCGGGATGTGCTCTCTCACCAACAACTACTGTCCGGCGCTGACGATCCCGGCCAACGGCAACCGCGGCGCGTGCTCCGGCCAGCTCGGCTCGATCTGTGGTCCGGTCACCTGCAATGCAGGGTACTCGATCTCTGGCTCGGCGTCGCGGACATGCGAGGACGCTGGGGTGAGTGCGGGAACCTGGAGTGGCACGGCGACAAGCTGTGCGCTCATCACCAACTACTGTACGCTTCCGAGTACGCCGAGCAACGGTGTGCTGGGAGCGTGCACGCGCTCCATCGGCGGGAGCTGCACGTACACGTGTGGCAACGGGTACGAGACGTCCGGCACGACGACGATCACCTGCCAGTCGGGACCGACCTGGTCGGGCTCGTTTGGCACGTGCGTCAAGACGAGCGGGTACTGTCCGGTCGAGTCGGCGCCGGCCAACGGCGTGGCGGGGACCGGGTGCACGGGCCAGATCGGGACGTCGTGCGGGCCGGCGAGCTGCAATGCCGGGTACAACCCTTCGGGGACGGCGACGCGGACATGCAACGCCAACAACGCGGTGAGTGGGACGTGGAGCGGGACGACGCTGACGTGCGCGATCGACCCGGCTTACTGCACGACGCCTGCGGCGCCGGCCAATGGGGCGATTGGATCGTGCCCGCTCTCGATTGGGTCGTCGTGCACCGCGTCGTGCTCGAACGGATACTCGACAGGCGGGCTGACGTCGGTGACTTGCGAGGCCGGTCCGGCGTGGTCGGGCGTGTTTAGCGATTGTGCGACGTATGCTGGGTACTGTGGCGCGCTGCCGCAGCCGTCGAATGGAGTGATTCCAGGCTGCACAGGCATGCTGGGAAGCTCCTGCGGGCCTGCGAGCTGCAACGCCGGCTACAATCTGGCAGGCGACGCGACGCGCAGCTGCATCGACAACGGACCTGGGCAGGGATGTGGTCAGGCACGGCTGTCTCGTGCAGCATCGAACCGAATTATTGCACGCCGCCGCCGGCACCGGCCAACGGTGCGCTCGGAACGTGCATCACGTCGATCGGCGGCAGCTGCAGTTACACGTGCGACAACGGATACGAGGTGTCTGGAACCGGAACGATCACGTGCTCGGCCGGACCTACGTGGTCGACGTCGTTCGGGACGTGCGTCAAGAGCGCCAACTACTGCCCGGCACACCCGCCGCTGGCCGACGGCAGCAACCCGTCGTGCACCGGCGAGATTGATGAGGTCTGCGGGACGTTCACCTGCAATCCCGGCTACGCGCTGTCCGGATCGGCCGAGCGAACTTGCCAGGTCAGCGGTCCGGCCGTAGGCGTGTGGTCGGGGACCGCGCCGTCGTGCGTGGTTGATGGTGACTACTGCCCGGTTGGCCCAAGTGCGCCCGGGAATGGGACGCAGAATGCTTGCCCGAGGTTCTTGGGCGCACAGTGCGAGTACTCGTGCAATGCGGGGTACACCAACACCGGATCATCGGCGCTTTCCTGCGCTGTTGGCCCAATGTGGACCGGGACGCCGGCCAGCTGTGTTCCATTTGACAACTACTGCGCGGTGAGGTCGTCGCCGGCCGACGGATTTGCGCCTGTGCCGGCGTGCAAGAACCGCATCAACGAGTGGTGTGGCCCGTTCACGTGCGCGCCGGCGTTCACGCTGTTTGGCTCTGAGTATCTGTTGTGTGGGTCGGACGGAAACTGGATCGGTGTTGACCCGTTCTGCTCGTCGACAGACCCAGCGCTCTCGCTGGTGTACTCGGAGAAGCATGTCACGGTTTCGGCCGACGGCCCGGGCTGGCGGATCGAGATCGAGCCGCGGACGTCGTTGAACGACACGGTGTCGAACTCGCAGGACGTGGTGGCTGTTCTCTTTACGTCGACAGCGGTGTCGATCAGCGCGCCATCAGTGGCACCGGCCGCAGTGTGGAACGAGGCACTCAGCCGGTTCTTTATTGAGCTTACGCCCAAGGTGAAGGCCTCGTACTCTCTTAACATTGTGCTCAACGGCGTTGTTATTGGCGACTCGCCGTACACTCTGGTTGTCGAGGCTGGCGTTCCTGCAGCGCCAACGACGGTGGCGACTGGCCGCGGGCTCGGCATTGTTGTGACCGACGACGATTTGTTCTCGCAGAACGAAGTTGTCCGGTTTGCGGTCTTCCCGCACGACCAGCACGGTAACGTGGTGCCGATGGCGAGCAACCCGGCGACAACGCCGTACGTGGCGACGCTCAAGGGCGCCGGCTTTACCGAGGGTGACGTTCCGATTGTGTATCTGGCGGGCGAGTCGGGACCGACGACGGGCTACGTGTACGAGTACTCGGTGCCGATCGGCGGGCTGCTGACACTCTCTGTGACGCTTGACGGGCTGGCCATTGCCGACTCGCCGTGGCTGGTCCAGGTGCGTGCAATTTGCGAGCCTGGCAAGCAGGCGCTTCAGATCACGGGCCCATGCGTTCCGTGCGAGAAAGACTCGTACTCTGCGCCCGACGGGCGCGAGTGCTTGTTGTGCCCGGACTTTATGACGTCGCCGTCGTCGTCAGGATCGATCGGCAACTGCACGTGTGTGCGTGGATACTTTGAGAACCTGGCTGTGGTGGGCGCTGATCCGAGCAAGCGGCAGTGCGACGCGTGTCCTGTAGGCGCATCGTGCGCAGGCGGCAACGCGCGGCCGATTGCGGATCCCGGGTACCACCAGGTGGGTGACGAGTTTGTGTCGTGCCCACAGCCGTCGGCGTGTGTGGGTGCCGGGCGGTGCGCGTTGGGATACAAGGGGCCGTCGTGCACTGACTGCACCTCGGGCTACTACCGGCTGGGGACCAAGTGTTACAAGTGCAACAAGGCGCAGGCGGCGCTTGTTGCGGCTGGCATTGCGTTTTTGCTGCTGCTGTTTGTGGCGGCGCTGGTGTACCTCAACACGCGCGAGTCGCACAACCGGATGTACACGGCAGCGGCGTTTATGATCGGTTTCAACTCGCTGCAGATCTCGGCGATGTATGGAGAGATTGAGCTGCGTTGGCACCCTGTGGCGGAGCAGTTCTTCAACATCCTTTCGATTGCCAACCTCAACATCGAGCTCACCTCGCCCGAGTGCTCGTTCAGCGTGGGTGACCCGTGGTTGGTCAAGTGGGTGATGATGCTGCTGCTGCCGATTTTTATGGTGCTGATGCTTGCTGTTGTGTTTGGGCTCGGGCTGGCGTACAGGCTGTTCACCAAGACGATTGGCGCCAAGTGGTCCGAGAAGCACCCGTCGTACTTCCCTGGCGGCGACGGGTTCTACGACGCCGGTGGTAAGCTGCCGCGGTCGCTGGCGACCAAGTTCCGGATCGGGCGGCTGTTGTCTGAGAGTCTGCTGACGCCTGCGGCGCTGCGGCAAGCTGTGATGCGGACGTTCTTCCAGCTATTCATTTTCTGCTACCTGCCTCTGACTGCGTCTGTCCTGCGGTTCTTCGAGTGCAAGCGCCGTGCACCGGGCTCATCCGAGTATGTCTTGGCGTCTGCGCCGTCTGTTGCTTGCTTTGACTCGCGGTACTGGAGCCTGTTCTGGTTGGCGCTTGCCGGCGGTGCAGTGTACGCGCTGGGGATCCCGATGTTCACGTTCGGCCTGCTGTACAAGCGCAAGCAGAGCCTGGACGAGCTCAACTTTATTCTCCGCTACGGATTCCTCGTGGCACGCTTCCGCGAGAAGCTGTACTACTTTGAGATCACGATCATGGTCCGCAAGCTCCTTGTGGTTGCAGCGGTGGTGACGTTTGGCACGCCGGTGCAGGAGGCGATCATGGCGGCGCTTGTGCTTGTTGTCTCGCTCTGCGTTGTCTCGCACTGGATGCCATACCTCAAGCCGTTCCACAACCGGCTTTCGATGGGGGCTCTGCTGACGTCGTGCGTTGTCCTGTTTGGCGGGACTGTCGACTCGAACCGGCTCCGCGACACGCTGGTCCTCGGCGGACTTGCGGCCAACGTGCTGGTCATTGTCTATGGCGTACTCGTGGAGTCGCGCAATCTCATGGTGCGTGAGGCGGAGGACATCATGGAAGTACTGGAGATGCAGGACGACTTTGAGATGTCGACGTTGGCGATCCATGAGGACGAGGACCAGAGCGTGCGTTACATGGCATGTGGCGATGGCGGGTATGGTGGGTCGTCGCAAGGTGGCATGAGCTCGTCGTCGATGATGACGACGTCTGTTGTCGGGTCGTCGGTGCTCCATCCGTCCGAGTCGATCTTTGTGTCGCAAGCCGGCGTGCAGGATGACGACGACTTTGCAGTGCCACAGATTGGCAGTGGACGTGATGCGCCGGCGGCACCGGGAGTGGGAGCTGTGGGACCGGGCGGGCGTGTGATGGCACCGGCGCTTCCGCCGCGCGAAGTGACTGCGCCGGCGGCTGCTGGCCCGCCCAATCCGTCTGCCGGCCCGCCGAAGCCCACGCCGTCGCCGATGATCAACCCTGGACCGCCGCTGCCGCCTTCAGCGATGGCATCACCGGCTGCTGCTCCGATGCCCGGCCCTCCTTTGCCGCCGCCGCCAGCTCCAGCGCCCAAGCCGGCGGCCAAGCCTGCCGCACCCCAAGCCTGATCGTTTTTGATGATGCACCTCGCGCGTACATGCGCGCATGAAGCCGAACACTCTTAACTTTTCTCTCACAACAAACATTCTCTTTCATTTCTACGGCTCTTCCACTCGCTGCGCTGTTGGCTCTGTTTTGCGGTGAGATGGTGGCCCAAACCACGTGTGCGCACAGTAGCGCCGGCGAAGCGGTGGCCGCCGGCCGCGTTTTCCACCCAGCCCACCCCACTCTCCTTTGCTCCAATGTCTGCCACCACATCTGAGAGCCGCAAGCGCAAGGTCGAAGACTCTGACTCGGGAGCCGAGTCTGGCTCTGACTCTGGCTCTGAGGAGGTAAGCACCAGTTAAATAACTATCACCATCCACCTCATTCATCCATGGTGGCCTGCTTCGGGAAGGGCGACGGGAAGAGGGGGAAGCCGGGCAGAGGGAGAGGATTGGATCCCCCCTGGAGATCCGAGCCGAGCGAACGGTTTGGAGACGGGGAGGGGATCGGGGGGGAAAGGGAGGGAAAGGAGGGGGGGGGGGAGCTCATGGCGATGGACTTATGGTGATGATGGTGATGCTGATGGTTGTTTGAATGCCTGGGTTGGGTGCGGTTGCTTCTGCTGGTTATGATTGTGGTTGTGGTTGTCATGATGGCATGATGATGGCTGGGACTGGCGGTGCCGCGCATCACAGCTCGACATTGTCGACGTCGACTTTGACTTTTGCGATCCTTCGGCCGGAGACTTTTGGGCAGTCAAGCTCTCGCTGGCTCACTACATCGAGGCAGAAGAGTACGACGCTGGTTCTGTGGCCGATCTGGTGTGCGCGCAGCACGGAATTGGGTCGGTGGTCAAGGCCAACGGGCAGGTTGTGGGCTACATCTCGGCGGTTAACCTTCACCAGGACGGTGTGCCGGGCCTCGAGTCGATCAAGGCGTACCTGAAGCGAAAGGCGATAGGCGCTAACGCGGGCAACAAGACGCTGCACAAGGTGCTGGACAACACCGAGATGCCGGCCGGCCTTATTCTTAACTATCGGCTGCCCAACGCGCCTGATCAGCTTGCTACTCCTCTCCACGCCTCGCTCTTCCAGGAGCTCGCCGAGGTCTCGCTTGAGGAGCCCGAGTTTGGCTTTGACAACTACATCCTGCTCACCCGCTCGTACCGGACCCGGACTGCGGCGGCGACGCTGGATCCGGACGCGCCGCGGGCCAAGCGCAAGAAGCCGTCCACGACTGGCGACATCCAGCCGTTCTACGTGGAGGAGGAACTGTACTTCAAGCATGCGACGGCGCGGTACGATTTTGAGGTTCTGGACGACTCGGTTGAGGGCAAGCTGACCCTCGACGCCGTCGTTGACGTTGTTGGCCACATCCTGATCATTCCGGCCGACGCCATCGGTGCCCTTGTGGCCGAGATGGACGCGCTAGTGAGTGAGGCGCTTGAAGCACAGGTTGAGGACTTTTAGAGACAAGGAATAAAGACCAAGAGTGGAGAGCGGATGTCTCGTGGTTTGAAGCTTGGCAGCGTGCTTTATCATGTTGAGGCCTCGGCGGTCGCAGCCGCTCCGGAGCGCGGCTTGTATGTGACGACGCCTGGGCCGGTGGCGGCAAACCGCGGCTTGGACTGCGAGAAGATGGGCGCCGGTGAGCGGCCCTGGGTTGGGAGAGGAAGCGCCGAGAGCGGGGTGCGGTTGGCGTCGCGGCCGGCGTGGGTGTTCTCGCTGTGGGTGAGCGACTCGGCCGCGGCCTTGCCGGCAAAGTACGACGGGCGCAGCGAGTACGCCGAGCCTGCGACGGTGGCCGGCGGCTCCGACGCCGGGGCCACCACGGCCTCGGGCTTCTTGGGATCTGCCAGCGGGCCATGCGGGAGAACGGCATATGAGCCCGAGGCCTCACCGACGGCAAATGGGTTGCGCGATGCCGTCAGCGAGTTGTTCATCTGCTGGTTGAGGAACTTGATGAGGTTCTCGTTCGACTCGAGCTGATTACGTGACGCGGTGAGAGCCTCCTTGAGCGAGGCGTTATCATCGGTCACGCGCGCGAGGACCGCGTCCTTCTCGCCGAGTTGCGAGTGCAGGTCAGCAATGGTTCGCTCGGCCTTGCCCGCCGCAGCCTGGGCATCAGCGAGCGCAGCCTCCTGTTGGACCGAAATGGCGTTCTTCATCTTGATCTTGGACTTGAGGGCAAGAATGTCCGATTGCAGCTTGCGGATGATATCGTTGCCCTTGTTGATCTCTGCTGCTGCAGCCGCCACCTTGGCCTCGAGCTTGGTGTTGGTTGCCTTGTACAGCGCGAGTGTCTCGTCGTGCTGGGCGCGCGCCGCCGACGCCTCGACGAGAAGCGACTCGGTCTTGGCCACAAGCGCGTCCTTGTCGGCCACCTGCTGCTCGAGAGCGGCAATGCGAAGCTTGGCTTCGTTGATCGAAAGCAGCTGGGCGTGCTTGGTCGAGTCAAGGTCGACGTTCTGCCCGCGGATCGCCGCCAGCGCCGCCTTGGTCTCCTCGAGCTCGGCGTTGGACGCACCAAGCTTGTCGGCGAGGCTCTCTACTTGAGCCTCGAGGCGGGTGTTGGCGTCGACAAGCGTGTCCATGCGAGAGCGGGCGTCAGCAAGCTCGCGGGCGGCGGCGGCAGCGGCCTTGGCGGCCTCGCGGCGTTCGGCGTCGAGCTTGGCGGTCATCTCGGAGCGGACCTTGTCGAGGGCGCGGGAGGCAGCGGCGGCTGCCGATGTGGCGTCACGCTGGGCGAGCAGCTTCACACTGGCAACCTGCTCGGCAGCCTGAGACGATGCAACGGCAAGCTTCTCGGCCAGGGCCGCTCGGTCAGCTTCCAGCTCCGCCACCTGGGCCTCGAGCCGAGACGACGTCTCGTCGAGCTCGTACGTCAGCTGGGCCTCCGACTCGCGAGTCAGGGCCAGCTGCTCCGCCAGATACGCCTTGACATGCTCATCATCACCAAGGCGGAGCTTGAGCGTCAAATGCGAGAGAAAGCGCAGCGGGTTGGTCTCGACAATCGAGAGCTCGCCGACCGACGAGCCGGGTGGACCGACGTCGAGAAAGACGAGGAACTTGCCCTGTGAGCCGCCATGGCTTGCTGGCCCAGCAGGACCAACACTCGAAGCACCTGCGCAACGAGGCGAGGCATCCGATGAGGTGGAAAGCGAGGCAGGCGAGGACGAGAGCGAAGCTCTGACGGCGTCAAAGAGGCGAACCAGGTCCGAGGGAAAGGTTGCAAAGTCAACGAGGAGGCCTTGCTCGGCACGAAGGTTTTGAAAGGCGGCTTCATGGACATGGAGAAAGTACAGAAAGTATGGGTCCGAGCCTTCTGTCAGCCGCAGTCGCAGTTCTTTGTTCTCCAGAGCAGATGGACGGGTGTGGAGGGAGAGGGTGGCCCGGACAGCCACGTACTTTTCCTCCCGCCCGGGCGCACGGATGCACAGAGGCACCTCGCCGTCATACAGCATGTGGGCGTTGTCGCTCATGGCGGTGAGGATAAAAAGATGATGATGATGGTGGTGGTGGTGGTGGTGGTGGTGGTGGTGGTGGTGGTGGGTGGTGGTGGTGGTGGTGTGGAGTTGTGTGGCTGGTCCGCCAGTTTTTCGCGCCAAAACTGGTCGGTCAGTGGCAAGCGGCGGTGGCTGGCCGGCTGGCAGGTGGGCGGCTTGCCGGCCGGCAACTGTCAGACAAGTTGTGTTTGAGAGTATGTGTCGGGGTTTATCCACAGTATCATCAATCATGGTGGTGATCATGGTGTCGTGCTTGTCCTGTGCTGGCGTAGTAGCCTGGCTTTGCAGCCAACCAGGGGCGGGACAACGACAAGGTCAACGGCAACGAGCTTGCTCAGGCCCAAGGCTTGCTGGCCGACTTTGAGGAGAGCGGCATGCTGGCGAGCTCGACACAATACTTTTCCGGCACTCCGGCGGCGCGGAGCTCGGCAAGCTTGCGGTCGCGGATGGCCTCGAGCTTGCGGATGCGCAGCTCTTCCTCGAGATCGTCATGGCGACCCTCCTCGCGGATGGCACGGCGCTCGCGCTTCTTGGCCTCGTCGCGCTGGAGCATCTGGCGGCGGACCTCGTTGCGGTAGTTACGAACGCGCTCAGCCTCCTCGGTGCGGCGGCGCTCCTCGTCCTCCTGGATGGACTTTTGGACTTGGACGACGCGCTCAAACTCCTGGCGGTCCTGTGCGGCCTGTGCGGCGATGAGGCGCTCCTTGTGCATGAGCTGCTCCTCGCGCGCGGCCTTGAGCTCGTCCTCCATGCGCTTCTTGCGGCGGGCTTCCTCGGCCTCCTTGCGCCGCCAGTCGCGCTCGTACTGCTCGGCGGCGCGGCGGGCGAGGAGCTCGTCGCGGGCAGCCTGCTTGTCGATGATGCGCTGCTGCTGACCGCGGACGCGGGCGACTTCGCGGGCCTTCTGGGCCTTGATCTTGGCGACTTCAGCCTGGTACGCCTCCTCGCGACGGGCCTTTTCCTGGACGTACGCCAGGATGCGCAGGTCATCCTGCCGCTCGCGCTCGGCCTCGATATCGCGCTTTTTGGCCAGCTCCTTGTTGGCGGCGTCGATCTCGAGGCGCATCTCGTGCTGGACAGCGAGCTTTTGCTCGAGCGCCACTCGCTCCTCCTCCTTCATCTCAGCCATCTGCGCGAGGAGAACCTGGCGCTCGGCCTCAATGCGGGCAAGGTTCTTGAACCGCTCCTCCTCGCGCTCGGCAATCTGCATGCGGATGACCTGCGCCGACTCGCGCTGCTCCTTGCGGCGGGCGATATCGCGCTGCTTGTACGTCTCAATCTTCTCCAGCCGGAGCTTCTCCATCTCCTCGGCAATACGCGCCTCGCGCTCGGCGTTGATCTTCTTGCGGCGCTGCTTCTCCTCGAGCTGCGCGTCGCGGATGGTCACCGTCTTGGCGTGGCGGACCAGGGCGTTCATGGCCTTGACCTCGTCCATCTCCTCGTCGAGCTGCGCCTGAGCCATCGCCCGAACGAATGCCTCCTCTAGCGCCCGCTCCTTGGACACTGTGTGACGGTGAGGGTCACGCTTCTTCTTGGCCGCATCGATACGGCGCATTCGCTCCTTGCGGTCCTCGGGCGTCACCGGGCAACGCCCGACCCGCGTCCACGCGGCGTTGATCCGCGCGACGCCGCATCTGCCTTGGCCTTGGCCCGGATCCGCTGCAGGTCGTTCACCCCAATAACCGCTGCCTTGGGTGCCCGCGCATCGAGCGTCTGGCCCGTCCCCTTGCTCCTCGTCCGCAGCGTCCGCACCGAATCCTGCGTCACCACCGTCGTTGTTGCCCCCCCCCTGCTCCGCGGCGTCCGCGAGCCCCGAGCCTATCGTAGCAACCAACATCACACAACATAGCATGTGAGTGAGTGAGTGAGCATGCGCGGGTGTGGTACCCCCCCCCCCCTCCGCTGCTGCAGCGGGTGGAGCTGCCCGCGTCCCAGTGCCCTCTCTCCCCCTCTCGTCGCTCCCCCCCCCTCCCTCCCCCTCAGGCCTCCGTCTGTCTCCGTACTGCAAGCATATATATCACCAGATGGGTATTCTTGCGTGGACGTGTAGTTCTCTTTGTCTCTCTCCGACTAGCTCTTGTTTGTGCGAGCGGTGGTGGTGGCTATCCCTTCCTGACTGTCTTCTTCTCCTTGCTCTCCTCGCTCTCCTCTTCGCCTCGTCGTCCGTTGGTCCGCAAAGCCAACAAAGTTAGTGCCGAGGGACAATGGCAAAACGGCCTGTTCAACCCATTGCCGGTATTGGACGAGGTCAATTGCAGAATAATCATTGAGCCTCCCCCCCCCCTCCCCTCCCCATGACCCAGACTTCCCCAACTCCCCACAAACCAGCCCATTTGCACCACCATCGTTCATCCATCTACTTTGACGACATACCAATGATTACATCCGATATTATCCATGACACTGCACTTGCATGAAGAACACCCGCGAGCGCATCAACCATCCAGCATCCATCGATTAATCGATGCAGTTTGATGTGATCTGTTGCGTCAGCCATATGTTCCCGACGGTTTCTCGCGAGAGAGTGAGACAGAGCCAACAACAGGTGGAGTATTGGAGACGTGTTGGAAGGGTACACTTGTCGCACACATACAACATGGGCAAGCATCGTACGTACATACCAACATGTTCTTCTTCGTACTCTATATCCCTCATACATACTTGGATGGTCCGGCGTGTGTGTGTGTGTGTGTGTGTGTGTGTGTGTGTGGGTGGGTGTTGTGGTAGGGTGGGTGGGTGGGTGGAAGAAAAAGGTGCCGAAGTGCGGAACGGTGGCAAAGGGTATCGCCGCACGTGCGGGTGGCTGGCTGGCAGGGGGGGGGTCAGTGGCGGAGAGATTGGGTGGGGTGGGTGGGGTGGGGGGTGAGCAGAGGGAAGACGAGCAACTTACCTGTTGTATGTGTCATGTTCTTGGGGATGTGTGTAGAGTACACCAAGCTTGAGCGCGTGGACGTGGTCGAGTCGACCAAGGACGTGGAGCTCGTTGAGGTCGCGGCTGTTGAGGTGGAGGAGCCGGCGGCGCCGGTGGTCGACGACGCGACAGTGCCCGACGATGAGCTGTACTACGGTTGGCTCGCTGAGCGGCAGTACGCGGTGGACGTGCGGTCGATCTGGTCGCGGTCGTGGGAGCTCTACCGCAACCACGCCGGTCTCCTGACGGGCGGGTTTGTGGCGGTCGTTTTCGCGCACTGCCTGGTGGGCCCTGGCTCGCTCCTCGGCTCGTACATGGGCTACGGCTACCTTGTGATGCTGATGAACGGGATGCGCGCGTCGAACACGACAGGCTTCATGAAGTTCAACGACCTCTTTTCCGGCTTTTCGCTCTTTGTCCCGCTCCTCGGCCTCATGCTCACGCAGGCGGTCCTGATGATCTCGGCGATTGTGGCGTACATCTTTGCGGTTATCGGCCTCTACTTCCTGATCTTCATCAAGCTTTCGGCGCCTGCCTGGGTCGGCTACCCGTACCTCGCGGTTGTTCTCGCCCTCCTCTACCCGCTCATCTACGTCTCAGTCGGTATCCACATGGCAGCGCCCGTCCTCCTCGAGTTCCACACTCGCCGCATCGGCGTCTTTGCCTCGGTTGGCCTCGCCTTTAAGCAGCTGAACAAGAAGTTTACCTCGGTCGTCCTCTTTGTCACCATGCTCGCCTGCTTCCAGGTCCTCGGCACTCTCGCTTTTGGCGTCGGCATCTTCTTCACCGCCCCGCTCTCGATTGTCCTCTACATGACGCTTGTCAAGGATATGTTCGGCCTCAACGCCTCCGAGTTCCGTGCCAGCGAGTGCGTGGTCTGCGTTTAGAGCGCTCCGTCAACTTTCTTTCTTCTTTCGTTCAACAAACAAACAAACACACAACTCTCTCAGTACGGCGCCGGGCGCGCGGTGCGCGACGAGTGCTTCTGCGCGCCATGGGCACCGGCAGTCTGTTGGCGCTGCGGGGGCTGCGAGCGGGCAGGTTGTGGCCGCGACGCGGTCGAGGTCGACGAGCTGGCGCCGGCCGAGCCCTGGGCCACTACCGTTCCACCGTGACGGGCGTACATGTCCAGGATCTCGTTGGAGATCATCTCAAGGGTCTTGAGCGGGACGCCGACGATGTCAATCCACGACTTGCCCTCCAGTTTCTCGTCGAGATTGACCTTTTGGTGCAAGGCAGAGAGGTAGATGGCGGCGGCAGCAACCTCCCGCGGCTGGTACCGCAGACACAGCGTCATGCTCAGCGAGTCGTTGATGAACGACCACGCCGACTGGGCCAGCTCACGCGAGGCGTGGATATCCGAGGCCATGGGCATCAGGTCCTTGTACGGGTGGACCACCGTGAGGTCAAAGGCCAGTGTCTGCAGTACCTTGCGCTCGTGGATCAAAATCTGCTCCTTCAGCTGGAACAGCTTGCTGTCGTCGCGAGCCTCGCCTGGATACCGTTGCTCGAACGCCATATCCACCACGTTGCGCAGCTTCTTGCTTGATTCTTCCACCTTTGTGGCGAGGAAGAGGCACGTCACCGCCACCAGCCACGCATCGTGCTTCTTGAACGAACGCCGCAGGAAGAATCGATGGAAGAACAGCACGGCCGTCGCCTTGGCCAACGTCGGTCTGTCGCCACGCGCCCACACCCGCGCCACGCCACACCGCATCCCAGCATGAGTTTCGCTCACACCCGCACACCCACCCAAGGCGCTTCTCCACCCAAGCCCGACGATGGCATTCGCCCGCATCAAGCCTGAGCCTCGCACGCGGCGTCAAGACGAGACGGAGAACGCAGCCTATCGTACGATAGTCTGGGCACATCCGTCTTGCATACATTGGCCTCTACCCGTCCGTCCGTCTGTCCGTCCGTCTGTCCGACGGTCTGTCCGTCCGCCCGTCTCTGTCCGACCGTATCCGTCCACGTCCCCCTCCCCCCCTACCCCCCTTCCCTCTCCCCCCCCCCCCCCCCCCTCCTCTCCTCAAGCACGTACACATTCAGCTTGGCACCCAGGTGCAGAATGGCCATGCACTGCTTCTGGCGTTCGGCACACTCTGTGGCATAGTCCATGCCGTCCTCCCGCGACGGTGTGTGCTTCTTGAGCTCGTCCAGCGTCACATACCACGAAGATGCCTCCATCACAGCCACTCCAATGTCAACTAACACGCCGTGTCAAACTATGTCCTCTTGCTTGCTGTGCTTGCCCTGCCTCCGTCCCGCCGGGTAGAGTCCGGGGAAGTGCGGTGTCCTCCCCTCCCGCCTTGGTCGCCTCCGGCGACCCACCGACTGACCGCCGGATCGCCCGCCCGCCAGCTCACCTACCAGCTCACCTGCCCACCAGCTCACCTGCCCACCAGCTCACCCACCCGCCCGATCGCCTGCCCACCAGCTCACCTACCCGCCCGATCGCCTGCCCGCCCGATCGCCTGCCCGCCCGATCGCCTGCCCGCCCGATCGGCTCACCTGCCCACCCGATCGCCAGCTCAACCACCAGCTCGCCCACCCGCCAGCTCACCTACCCGCCCGATCGCCCGCCCGCCAGCTCACCTACCCACCCGATCGCCAGCTCAACCACCAGCTCGCCCACCCGCCCACCAGCTCGAGTACTCGATAGATCATCGGGATATTGACCTTGGCTGTGGTATGGTGGTCAAGCAGAGGGAGGTCTGCCAAGTTATGCACTGCCGATGGATGTGTGCAGCGGTCAGATCACCCACCGCCGATTGCTCACGCCAAGCCGGTTGAAGATGGAAGCGTACGTAATCAACCAGTCGATCTGTCTTTGATCACTATCACCTACACCATTAGCGGCTGCGCAGAGACGACATGACCATGCTCTCCACCCGACTCGGTTCCTTCCCCTCCCCCCCCCTCCACCAGCACCCCACTCACGCCCACCACCATGACCGACACCGCCTCGGAACCGCTCGCGCGCCCGTACATGACCTCGTTCAGCTCTGACAAGCCATCTTTGAAAGAGCTCGAAGCCTATCTCGCTCTCCCGGACTTTGCTCGGGCACAGGTGCGGGTGCCGGGGTCGGCGCCAGTCGAGTCGGAGACGGAGACGGAGACGGAGACGGAGACGGAGACGGAGACGAATCCGAACGCGAACGAGTGGCCGCTGACAACCTCGACCGGTGCTAAGCGACCGTACACGTGGTACAACGCTGTGACCACGCTTGATGGCGTTACATCGTTTGATGATCCTCCGGATCACCTCGGTGCCGCCGCCGTCGCCCTCGCCCACGATCCACAGGCGGCGTCGTCTGCTGACGGTCGCGTGTTGTTCGCCGGCCGCATGGTCTGCCACGCCCTCGTCCACGGCGGCAACACTGTGCGGAGCGAGCCGCGCCTCTTTGGCGGTATTCCTCTTGCTGATCTTGCTGCCGAGCGCCAGCGTCTTGCCGGCGACGCCGCGGCAGACGTCCCGCTCCAGGTCATCCTCTCCGGATCCGGCGCACTGCCTGTCGACGATCCCGAGTGCTGGCTGCTCGCGCCCGGCGGCAGCCACAAAGTCGTCATCTTGACCTCGCCTACTGGCCACGCAGCACTTGTCGATTCCTGGGGTGGCGTCGAATGCGTACCGGACCACGTGACGCTGGCCGCGTTTGCTCCGGCAGGCGATCCTACCAGCCGCGCCTGCGACGTCGACCTCGCGGATGCCTTTGCGTATCTCTACACCAAGCACGGTGTGCGGCTTCTGGACATGTGCGCCGGCGGACGGGCGGCGGCGGCCATGCTCCGCCTCGGGCTCATCGACGAAGTTCGGCTGACGTACACCTCGCAGTTTAGTGGGCGATCGAGCACGATGGGGCGGCCGCGGCCGCTGGTCTTTGATGCGAGCGCTGGCGCCCCGCTTGGCGTCTTTTCTGCGGTGCGGCTGCAGAACGAGGGGCTCCGCGCCGCCGGCCGCCGGCATCTCTTCCTCCGGGCCTCGGTCGTCATGTGACCCGAAGCGGAACTGTGGTCTTGTTCTCCCACTCGAAGCAGTCGGGCTCCGGCTGGTTGGCTACTCCGCGAGCATCGTGCAGCTCGAGCAGGACCTTGCGCGTCGCCTGTGTGTAAGTGAGGCCATCGACGTCTGCTGTTCGGAGAGGAACATGTCCACCGTAGCGAGGGATGCGCCCCGGTGCCGAGTCGGATAGAGGCTCGGCGTGCACATCGTCACCGGTCTCGGCCAACACGCCGGCCGGGATGCCCCCAGCACGGACCGACGCCAGCGCCGCAGCCCGGGTGTGGACCTCGGCGGTCCGGTTGATGAGGCCGGCCCGCGAGGTGCCAAGTCCAATCCGCGAGTTGCGGCCGGGTACAAAGCCGGCGTACCCGTTGGCGACCCGCGACGGCGGACGAGCGGAGGCGGCGCCGTCGTCCCCAGCCGCCGCCGCCGCCTCGAGCGCCGACGCCGCGCCGCGCGGATACAGCCGCTTGCCCTTGGTCCCGGGCGCGGTCGGCTGCGGCTCAAGCCGCCGATGGTGAAGTGCCGCCGCGACCGTGTTGTCATTGCTGTTGCCATCGGCGCCGGCGTCGGCGTCGGTGTCGGCGTCGATTGTCGCCACGGCCGAGTTGTGCAACGTGGGGTGCCAGGTTGACGAGAGCGAGGCATCCGGCCGGAACGGAATGTGTCCGCCGTACCCCGGCGCCGCCCACGGCCGAAGCCTGGTCTTCTCCAACCGGGCCTTGCGCTCTGCCGCCGACGTCATGGCGGCAAGGAACGGCGGCGCTGCGCCCGGTGTCGAGATCGGGCCAACAGGCGTGGGGCGAACAAAGACACCATCTGCCACCCCCGACGACAACGACAACGACGACGACGCGGTAAACGCTGCCTGCGCCGGAGTAGTGGTCGAGTCGACACTCGGCGATGCCGCTGCCTTTGCCACCACCTTGAGATCTGCCCGACGGGCTGTCTCGGACGCCCGCCGCTTGCTAGCCCGATCACTGCCAGTGGCCCCTGGCCTCAACGTCGGATTGTATGCGCCACGGAAGCCAGCCTCGATGCGGGCATTGTACTCGGGCTACATGCAACAATACGTGAGTCCTTCACCCGTTCTCACTACATGTACTTCCTCTGTGTCTCTGCGCCTCTGCGCCTCTGCTCGGATGAGGCTAGTGAGACAGTCCGTTGGCCACGCGCTTTGACCTGCTGCCAACGGACACGGGAGTGCGACTGGCAGGGAGCGTACCTGGAACTGGGTATGTGTTCCCAGGGGCAACCCATCACGGATACGCCCGCCAATACGCTCTACACGAGCATAGGCAGGTGGAGCGTCTTGTGGTGGAAGCATCGGTACGTGACCGGCATATCCGGCAATGGCGTGGGTCGACATGCTCCCGAAAGTGAGGTGCCTCTGCCACCAAACGGCCGCGGGCAGCCGACCAATACGCCCCCCCCCCCCCCCTCCTCACCACCTAATGGACAATCTAGTACGATCCTGTCTGTTGATCCTCGTCCTTTCGTCTCTCGTACGATCTGCACACGGCGGGTATGTAGGATAGGTAGCATTGGTCTAGCGGATGAGCATGGACTTTGGGGTGGGTGGGTGTGGTGGGTGTGGGTGTGCGGGAAGGGGGGTTGACTCGGACCAGGCTGCTCACCTCACCTCGGTTGGCCCTAGCAAGACTCGATCGCCTCCCTCCCCCCCCTCCCCACCCCCCCCCCACCCCTACGAACACACACAAACCGGGGGTTAATCTCGTATTATCGCTCCGCTGTGTCTCAAACAGCCCGGCTGTCGTGATCGCCCGACGTATCCCCATCACCACGACACCCATCGACCTCCTCCCTCCCCCCCCTCCCCCCTCTCAAGCTCCCGTCCCCCCATCAAGCTCCCGTCCACATCCTGATCCTAATCCTGATCCCAATCTGCACAATAACGATGATGATGATGATCTCATCCCTCGCCCTCCCCCCCCCCCCCCCCCTCCCCTCCCACTCCCTCATCCCAGCTGACGCCACCCGCGCGCTCAGTACCCAATGTTCCAACCAAAATGATGTCGTCATGCACCCGCGCGGGCCATCCATCCTTTGAGCGAAACGCGACAGGCATAGAGGGTGGAGGTAGTACCTGACGCATTTACTGGCTACTTTCCATCGCCAAGGAGTAAGGCAGTACTTGACGACAGAGTCCAGGAGTATAGTCTTCAAGCACATTCTCTCTCTCTCTCCTCTCTCTCTCTTTCTTACTCGGTCTCGCCCTCTCAACTTGCCGCCGCTGCTCTCGTGTCGCCAGCTCGCCCCCGCAAGACGCACACGCCGCCAGCATCACAGTTCAACTCCCAGTCAACATTCTCTCCTGTTGTTGTTGTGGAGGATAAGGCTAGTCATCGGGCGGTTCATCAACTTGCTGTGATTGTCCAGGGTTTTGTCATCGGAGGTTGACTCGGTCATGTCGTACTCGCAGCAGACTTCGATGCCGTCATCATACACGCTTTCGCATCCGATCTCACCGATCTCACTCTCGCCGCAGCCAGCAGCTGGTCACGGAGATGATGATGACTCGGATGCTGTGCCCGAGTTTACTCGCATTGTCTGTGGTGCTTGTCACGCGCCCAACTCGCTCGAGGTGAGCCACTGCTCAAAGTGCGGTGCAGCTGTCTCGCCGACTACCTGTGCGCTCACCACCTCGCCGTGCCCGTTCTGTCTGCTGGTCGCGGCCTTGGATGCAGCAGGCGCGGTTGGACACTTTGATCCGCCGCTTGCCGTGGGCAACGAGAGTGTACACTACGCCGACTCGGACGTTGTGGTCTTTGATGCCTTCCACGCCGCGTCGTGGCTGCAGCTCAACATCATTCCGCGCCACCACGTCGCTCACCTCGCTGAGCTCGACAGCTCACCAGACTACGCCACTGCGGCTGATCGCAAGGCGCTTCTGGTCAAGCTCTACACTGCTGGCATGGCGGTGACCGAGCGCCTTGTCGCTGTCGCCGCGCCGCCGTGGGCCGCCGAGGAGGTTTACTACCCAACGGCCCGCAACCCGGACATTACCTTTACCGCCGCCTACAACATGCCGCCTTCGGTCCCGCACCTCCACTTGTACATCATTGCCACCCCGTACCAACGTCCGATGAGCTTCATGCGGTCGCAAGCCGTCGCCTTTCCGCGCTCCAAAACCCACGCCGCCGTCCTCAACTCCCTCGACCGCCACGGCCGCTGCATTGCCGGCAAAGATCGCGAGGCGCCCGAGTACGAGGCCGAGGAGCGCGCCGCTCATGCCGTCGACGTCGCCCGCATCGTCTCACTCCACGTCGAGCGGACCGCGCGCCTCCACGCTGCCGCCACATCGCCCAAGGCCTCGGATGTCTCGGACGCCGAGCTCCAGTTTTACCTCGGTGGTCAGTTTGAGCCTGCGGCCTAGCTGCTTGCCGCGACTGCCGCCACCGCTCGGTCAAAGAGGACCACCCGCGGGGGTTCGGTGATGGACGACGACGTGCTCACCACCGTGGCCACAGAGCCGAGCGTCACTCCGCGTCCGGCACAGAGGCTTGACCCACAGAGGATTGGCTCGTACTTGCGCTGTTCAACAGGCACCACCACCGAGTTGCTCGCGTCAATGCTCACCGCGGTGTCGGCCAGCTGCGCACGCCGCAGCTGCCACCCGTGGGCCCGGAGCTCCGACTCGGTGGCCGATCCGCGCGGAACTTTGCCGGTCGTCACAATCTGCCCACACGCCCGGCATCCGAGCTCGATCACGTCCTTGGCTTCCTCATCGTCGAGCCCTGCACTGCAAGTAGCGTCGCTCGGCGCGCCGGCTGGCCCGCTCTCGTCATCGCCGTCGAGCTCGAGCACCACCGCGGGCTTGCCCGACGCCGCCGCCGCCCGCTGCTCAGCGGCCTCGGCGGCTGCCGAATGAAAGTTGTGCAGCGCCTGGCCAAAGGCTTGCGGATTGGGGAACGATTGGATGGCAGTGCGGACCCACTTGGAGAGCGACGGTGCGATCGAGGACCGTGCGAACCGCTCGTCGACCAGCAGGATCGAGCCGTAGTCGTTGCGGTGGCGGATGCACCGGCCGAGCGCCTGGTTGAGGGCTCGGAACGCCTGCAGCGTGTACCACTTGGAGCCCGGCAGCAGTCCGCGGCTCGTCGAGTGTGTGTCGTTGTATCGCCGCTTGATGGTGATCTTGCGGTCCTTGATGTTGGGGTACGGGATGCCAACGCAAAGCACCGACCGCGCGTTGTCATCGGAAAAGTCGATGCCCTCGGAGACCTTGCCACGGTAGACCGCAAGCAGCACCGCCCCGCCGATCGTCGGCGGCGACGCCTTGGAGCCCTTGATCGCTGCGTAGAACTTGGCCATGGTACCTTCAAAGTCGGCCTTGGCCCGAGGCTCCTGCACCACACGCTTCAGCTGCGAGAGCTGTGCGTATAGCCCGGTCTCCTTCCACCGCTTCACGAGCTTGTCCAGCAGCGTGTACGACGTGACAAAAACAAGCATTCCGTGCGGCACAATGTGCGCCAGCGCCTTGACCGTCTCGCCGAGCTGGTCCTGGAACTCGAGCGTGTTCGAGTGCTTCCACGTCGAGTTGAGCGTGTAGCCAGACGGCGCCTGGACCAGTGGCGTCACAAACACCTGCTTCTCCATGTCGATTACATGCCCAGCCTCGAGCACAATCGGAAATGGCGCCATCAGCTCAGACTCGAACGAGTCGAGCGGCGAGAGCGTGCCAGAGGTGAGGATGACCGACCGCGACTCACCAGCAAGCGAGTTGAACACAATGCCCGGGTTCATGCACCAAAAGTTGAGCGAAGTTTCGAACCCGGTCTCGCCTGCGCTGCGGCTAGGGCCGCTTCCACCTTGGTTCCCGCTGCTGCCTGGGCTCGCCCCACCGTGCCCGCTACCAACCGTCACCGCCGACAGTGGTGACGACGCAAACGCGCGCTGTGCCGAACGAGCGCCCCGCCGCTGCCGATGCCGGTTCGGCGTCGAAAAGAGACCCGAGTCCATGTGCCCGCCGCCGCGTCCACCACGTCCGCCGCGCCCGCCGCCGCGCCCGCCGCGCCCGCGCCCAAATTGCGCCTTGCGCACCTTGCGCACCAGCATGACATAGTCGGCAGCGTGCACGCCGTCGTCGCGGACGCAAATGTCGACCACAAACAGCAGCGTCTCCAGGACAACAAAGGTCTCTGCGGTGAGGACATGGGTGTTGTCGTCATCGCGCGGCCCGCCCTCAGCCGAGTCGCGCTTCGACTTTTCTTGCCGGATGTCGTTGGCCGACTTGAGGGCGGCTCGGACGACAACGAGCGACGACGGCGTGAGTCCCATTTGCTCCAGCGCCGCAAGGAGCGAGCGGCCGGCGAGCTCCGGGGACTCCTCTACCTCATATTCGACGCCGCGCAGCGACGACGCCGCCGTGTTGCGGAGCCAGCCTAGAACGGCGTCGATGACAACCAGCAACGGCTCGTACGCAGCGCGCGCTGTGTCAGACGTCTTGCGTCCTGCGTCGAGATCTTTCTGCGCGTGATCAAGCGAGTCGAGCGTGAGCTGCGCCGAGCCGGCGTCACGGCACGAGTCCTCGATGTTGTGGGCCTCATCGAGGATGACAATAGCGTTGGAGAGCGCGATCGACATCGAGCCGCGGACTAGTGGATCAACGAGGTAGTTGTATGGGCAGAACACAATGTCAGCCGTCTCAGCCAGGTTCTTGGACGCAAAGTACGGACACCCGCGCTTGCGCCGACCGGCCGACACCAGGTTCTCGATGTCCCACACCTTGGTCGAGAACACTGGGTCGCTCGCCAGCCGCTGCACATTGTGGTTGAACCCGCAGCCTGCGTGCTCGAGCAGGGCCTTGCACTCGTCGTTGCGTCGGGCAGACTTGGAGACCCGCGGATGGATGCAGTACTGCTCGCGCGAGGCCAGAATCGCCATCCGCGGCCGGTACGCCGTCGCCCGCAGCTCGCCCACAATTTGATGCACCTGCGAGTGGGTCCGCGACGCAAAGTAGATCCGCGGCGGGTCCTGCGCGAGCTCGGCGGCGTCGGCTCGCGCCTGCTTGTCCGCTTCTGCATCACCCGAGTCAAACATCGCATCTTCGCCCCGGGACTCGCTTGCGCTATTGGACACCTTGCCCTTGCCTTTGAAGCTCCCAGAGAGCAGCTTGGCCCTCTTGGCCGGCGGGCCCGGCGGCGGCGTCGACGCCCGCGGCTTGGCCTCCACAGGCGGGCTAGGCGGGAGCGGCGGGGGTGCCGGGCCGGGCATAAAGTCATCGTCTGACGACAGCATCGTCGTTCGTCCAGGCTGCGGCTCGGCAGACGCGACCATCGCCGTCGCCTGATTGTCGCCCAAGCCCGGCGGCGGCTGCGCCGGCAGCGGACCGCCTCCCGGCTGAGGCGTTGCGTCACCATCGCCGTCATCACCCGGCAGTGGCTCCTTGGCTGATGGCTCCAGAAGATCGACGAGCTTGGACGGACCGGGCGGCGGCGGCGGATGCGGGCCGGTAGGCCGGCGACGTGAATTGTGCAGCTCGTCGTGGGCCACCGCCGACTTGGCCATCCGCACGGTCTGGGCCAGGCGGTACTCACGGAGGCGACGGCGAGCGGCAGCCCGGCGGGTGAGAACCTCACGCTGCCAAGCAAGCGTTGAGCAGAGGAGGGCGAGCGACTTGCCTGAGCCGGTGGGCGACTCGAGGAGGGCATTCTTCTTCTCCGCCACGGCCTTGATCACCTTGGCCATCATGGCCATTTGCGAGGGGTAGGCCTTGAAGGGGAACTTGACGTTGACCCCGCCAATCCAGTATGACTCACCGCCCTTGCGCGACATCCTCACTTGTTGCTCGGTCCTCAGCTGTACCTTGTATCTGCTGAAAAGGAGAAGCCGGGGCGTGAGGCGTGCGGTGTGTGGGGTGAAGTGTGCTGGCGGCCATCGAAACTGCGACCTTTTTTGGTTGGGCGGCAGTGAGTCGCACGACTAAACAAGATACGACTGAACAAGATGAGGCGACGGATGGAGAAGAGAGACTTTTGACGACGACCTACAGCTTGAAGCCCGAGTGCATGGCGGCGATGCCAAACGAGAGGTTCGAGTAAGAGACGGCGCGGAAGCCGGCGTCGTCGATCATGGCCTTGAACGTCTCCTGGTCCGGGAACTGGCGGATGGACTCGACGAGGTACTGGTACGAGTCGCGGTCGTTGGCCACCAGCTCGCCCAGCAGTGGGATGAGCTGGAACGAGTACGCATCGTAGGCCTGCGAGAGGACAGGGAGGGCGACGCGGGAGAACTCGAGGCAGAGGAAACGGCCGCCCGGGCGAAGGACCCGATACGACTCGCGAAGGGCAGCAGCAACGTCAGTCGTGTTGCGGATGCCAAACGAGATGGTGTATGAGTCAAACGTATTGTCTTCAAACGGCAGCGCCTCGGCATCGCCCTGGACCCACTCAAGGCCGGCCGGATCGCGGCCGTCGGCGGCAGCCCGCTCGCGACCGACGCCGAGCATGCCCTCGTTGATGTCGCAGACGGTGACCTTGGCCGGAGCCGTGGCAGCACCTGCCGGCTTGCGCCCGGCGTGGTCGAGGCAGCGGAAGGCAATGTCGCCCGTCCCGCCGGCCACGTCGAGCATACGCATGCCGGGCGTCGGATCGAGGGCCCGGACAAACTGGTCCTTCCACACCCGATGAACTCCGGCAGACATGAGATCGTTCATCACATCGTACATATCAGCCACATTGGAAAAGACCTCGCCAACCAAGGCCTTCTTCTCATCCACAGGCACGTCCCGGAAGCCAAAATGGGTGGTCGAACCATCTCCGACCGTCCCTGCCTTCGACGACGCGGCACGAGTCACTGCCGCCACCACCACACCGACTACCGCTGTCCTCGCTCCAGCACCCATGTTCCGACCCATGCCTGCTACCGCCCGTCCTACTCCTAGCATGCTTGTGTTGCGCGTGTAAGAGTGCGGTGTGTCTGTGAGCGTGTGTGGCGGGGTGGTGGCGGTGGCGGTGGTGGCGGTGGTGGGTGAGGGTGGCGGCTGACGAACTGTTCGTCGCAGCAGCCGGCTGAGCCTAAGAGATAGATCAAAGGGAGATGGCACCATGGCTGTGTGTGTATGTGTGTGTGGGAGGTGCTGTTCATTCAGGATGCAGTCGTGGGTGTGATCAGGCTCACGAGTCGGCGTGGGAGAATGATGGTGCGATGAGCGGGAACATCTGCGACATGTAGATTGAGGCCCAGCTAGAGAGTGGCAAACCGAGAAGGTCGGGGTGAGTTGCGGAGAGGGGGATGGGGAGGGGGGGGGGGGAGAAGGGGAAGGGGAGGGGAGTGAGGGAGGAGAGAGAGAGAGCGAGGAGAGGGGAGGGGAGGAGGGAGGGGGGGGAGGCGGAGGCGAGGGAGCGATCACGGCTTCTTCCACGTACAAGATCCACATGCAGAAGGTGAGAGTGATGATGAGAGTGCGGACCAGCCTATCCATCCATACACCACCACGTTGCCCACGGCAGAGCACCACCACGTTGCCCACGGCAGAGGACCACCACGTTACCCACGACAGAGTACCGCCACGTTACCACCCACAAAGCCCACAGCCACCCGACGACCAAGTGAGTCACTCATCCACCCCATCAACCTATACACCCATACCCTTTCCTTATACAGCCTCCCCTTTCTCCTCTCGATCCTGCTCATGCCCACACCAGGTGTCCACCCTCCCCAGGTCACGCGGAGCAAAGCGAGTCACACCGCACCGCACCGAGAGCCTCTCACACCCAGCAGGCCTGGGTATGGCAGAGAGGCAGAGAGGCAGAGAAAGGGGGAGAGCGCAGGGGGGGGGGGAGTGGTGGGATAGCGGAGTGTGTTGAGAACGTAGTGGGAGAGGGCGGAAGGATAGGGAGGGGGGGGGAGGGGAGAAAGTGCTTGCACAAGCCACGTCGTCCCCACGTCGCCCCCCCCCC